TAAGATTAGTTCTAGAGAACTTGGAAGTTACGCCATTGGGGAATTGTAGTTGGTATTGATAAATGCATTGCCTGCATTGTGAATTTTCCCTTTTCTTTTGCTTTAATGCAGGAGTTCTCAAACCTTTTCAGCTTTGGAGCCCTTTTTGAAGCAAAAGTTTCTCTTGGAGCCTTAATAAATGTTTATATATTATACTAGCCGTCCCCTGCCACGCATTACTGTGGCCCACAGGGGGGTTCTGCGTGGGAGGTTTGGCCCAATTCTATTGTTGGTGGGGTTCAGAATGCTCTGTGATTGTAGGTGAACTATAAATCCCAGCAACTACCACTCCCAAATGTCAAGATTCTATTTTCCCCAAACTCCACCAGTGTTCACATTTGGGCATATTGAGTATTCATGTAGTTTGGTCCAAGGGAGGGGAGGTCGGGAGTGGGAGGAGCACACTTTCGGAACCGCTGCTTTAATTGATAACCTACCTTCATTGTTGAATCTCAGAGCCACATATTAACCTCTTCCACAGTGGTTATTCATTGTGTCATAGGATTTTGTCTATAACACAGAACGTTTTAACCTCTTTTAAAGTGTCCTTGCTCCCACATATAAAAAGACTAGTTGTCCCCTGCTACGCGTTGCTGTGGCCCAGTCTGGTGATCTGGAAAATAAAGTAATGAGAAAGTGTTGGTTTCTAATATATGTAATGTCCTTATGCTTGTGGGTAAACAGTATTTCTTGCTGATTCTTTACCAGTGTTGATGGAGAGATTGTCTGGTTTGCCTACTCAGGAACACGCAACATATCATTGTCCTACTTTAGGGGTCCCTTTCAAATCTTTGATACTGCATCTGTCATATACATATATGTGTGTGTGTGTGAATGGCTGGATGGCCCTTTGTCAGGAGGGCTTTGTTTATGTTTTCTTGCCCTGGTGAAAGGAGTTGGACTGGATGGCCTTAAGGCAGCATTTCTCAACCTGGGAAGACCCTGGGGGAGGGGGGGTCACCAGGGAGGTGGTACTATATCTGTCATAAACATATGTGTGTGAATTATATATTTTTATCTATATCTATGGCTGGATGGCTCTTTGTCAGAAGGGCTTTATGTTTTCTTGCTATGGTGAAGGGAGTTGGACTGGGTAGCCTTAAGGCAGCATTTCTCAACCTGGGGTTTGGGACCCCTGGGGGGGGTTGCGAGGGGATGTCAGAAGGGTCACCAAAGACTACAAAAACACAGTATTTTCTGTTGGTCATGAGGGTTCTGTGTGGGAACTTTGCCCCAATTCTGTCGTTGTTGGGGTTCCGAATGCTTCTTGATTGTAGGTGAACTATAAATCCCAGTAACTACAACTCCCAAATGTCAAGGTCTATTTCCCCAAACTCCATCTGTGTTTATATTTGGGCATATTGAGTATTCGTGCCAAATTTGGTCCAGATCCATCATTGTTTGAGTCCACAGTGCTCTCTAGATGTAGGTGAACTACAACTCCAAACCAAGGTCAATGCCCACCAAACCCTTCTAGTGTTTTCTGTTGGTCAGGGGAGTCCTGTGTGCCAAGTTTGGTTCAATTCCATCATTGGTGGAGTTCAGAATGCTCTTTGATTGTAGGTGAACTATAAATCCCAGCAACTACAACTCCCAAATGACAAAATCATAATTTTTTGAGTGATGGTCACTCCTTGTGTAGTGAGACGTTTTGTTGCCAAATTTGGTGTGATTTCGTTCATTGGTTCTTTTGTTTTTAAGGTACTCATTACGCACAGAGCATTTTTATATATATAGATTGCTTCTGAAAGTCATGAAGCTGGTGTCCTTAATGCAATTGCTTCACTATTTCTCCTTGAAGGGGAAACTTCTTAGCCCTTTAAGGAAAGCAGAGCTCTCACCACTCATCTGTCTCCTCGGTTTTCTGTTAGTGCCAGCTATCAAAAAATACTGAGACATAGCATTCTCTTATGATGTCAGAACTTTCAAGTTTGAACAGATCTTCTCTACATATTCTAATTTGTGAATTTCCTGGTTGGAAACTCTTGGGCATGTATTGTCTTGGTTTTACTGTAACTAATAGCTTTGTCATAGCTTGGAATGCAGTTTCTGATGAGCAAGGGCAAGAAGGGTTCTTGAAATGACATTGGTTGGAAGGTGTTCTGTGTTGGGCAACCTTAAACATGGAAGGTTCATGGCCAGCATTTTCCTGCCCCTGATGTTACAATGCCTAAATCTACATAAATAAAAATGTAATGTTCGTTTGTAGGATTAATGTAACTCAAAAACCACTGGATGAATTGACACCAAATTTGGACACAGTACACCTACTACCCCAAGGAGTTCAAAAAGCATGGATTTTGTCATTTGGGATTTGTAGTTGCTGGGATTTACAGTTTACATACAATCAAAGTGCATTCTGAACTCCACCAATGATGGAATTGAACCAAATGTGGCACACAGAACTCCCATGACAATACTGGAAGGGTTTGGTGGGCATTGACCTTGAGTTTGGGAGTTGTAGTTCACCTACATCCAGAGAGCAGTGTGGACTCAAACTGAATCAGGCCATCTAGACCAAACCTGCCACTAATACTCCATATGCCCAAATGTGAACAGTGCTGGAGTTTGGGGAAAATAGACCTTGACATTTGGGAATTGTCGTTGCTGGGATTTATAGTTCACCTACAATCAAAGAGCATTCAGAACCCCACCAACGATAGAACTGGGCCAAACCTCCCACACAGAAACCCCACAACCAACAGAAAATACTGTGTTTTCTGGTGGTCTTTGGCAACCCCTCTGAAACCCCCTCATGACCTCCCCCCAGGGGTCCCGACCCCGAGGTTGAGAAATGCTGCCTAAAGGCCATCCAATCCACCTCCCTTTGCCAGAGCAAGAAAACATAATCAAAGCCCTCCTGACAGAGAGCCATCAGCCTTAGATATAGATAGATATATATGATTCACAGACATATGTAGACATAGATGTAATATCATAGATTTGAAAGGGACCCCTAATGAAGGACAGTAATATGTTCCATGTTCCAAAGTAGACAAACCAGACAATCTCTACATCAACACTGACAAAGAAAGAAGTACTGTTTACCCTCAAGCATTAAAAAATTGCACATATTAGAAACCAACACTTTCTCATTACTTTATTTTACAGATCACCAGACTGGGCCACAGCAACGCGTGGCAGGGGACAGCTAGTCTATATAAATAAAAATGTAATGTTAGTTTGTGGGAGTAACGTAACTCAAAAACCACTGGACGAATTAACACCAAATTTGGATACAATAAATCTATCAGGCCAACGAGTGACCATCACCCATTAACACCCCCCCTCAATAAGTAGCAGGAAGGACTTAACCCAAAAAAGCTAAATGACAATACAAATGGTGATGCCCGGCTTACTAACCGTGGAGCCTTTGCTCTGCAGAGAGCAGGGATGTACCTCTCTGAAGCACTGCCTTTGAGCCCAACTCTTTTCCAGCCTATGTCTATAGGGAAGGAATGAAGGAGGAAAAAGGGGAAGGAAGGAGGAAAAGAAAGAGAGAATGAAGGAAAAAAGCAGAGAAGCAAGCAAGGAAGGGAAGAGGTAGAAAAGTAAGGAAGGAGAGAATAAGGGAGGAAAGGAAAAAGGGGGTACGCAGAAAAGAGGTAGAGAAGGAAGGAAGGGGGGAAGGAAAAAGAGAAGGAAGGAAGAAAAGAGAGAGGGAACGGAAGGAAAAGGGAGAGAAGAGGGAGGGAAGGAAGGAGGAAAGAGAGAAGGAAGGATGGAACCAAAGCAAGAAGGAAGGAAGGAGTGAGAAGGAAGAAAGGAAGAGGGAAGAAAAGGAGGGAAGGAAGGAAAGAGGGAGGGAAGGAGGAAAAAAAAAGAAAGGAAGAAAAGAGAGAGGAGGAAGGAAAGATGGAGAGAAAGAGGGAGGGAGGGAAGGAAGGAAAGAGAGAAAGAAGGATGGAACCAAAGAGCAAAGGAAGGAAGGAAGGAGGTAGAGAAGGAAGGAAGGAGAAGAAGGGAAAGAAAGGGGGAGAAGGAAGGAAAGAGGGAGGGAGGGAGGGAGGGAAGGAAGGAAGGAAGGAAGGAAGGAAGGAAGGAAGGAGGGAAGAAAATTAAAAAAGACAAGGAATGAAGAAAAGAGAGAGGGACGGAAGGAAAGATGGAGAGAAAGAGGGAGGGAGGGAAGGAAGGAAAGAGGGAAGGAAGGATGGAACCAAAGAGCAAAGGAAGGAAGGAGGTAGAGAAGGAAAAAAGGAGAAGAAGGGAAAGAAAAGGGGGAAGGAAGGAAAGATGGAAGGAAGGAGGGAAGGAAACTAAAAAAGAGAAGGAAGGAAGAAAAGAGAGAGGGGCAGAAGGAAAGATGGAGAAAAAGAGGGAGGGAGGGGGAAGGGAAGGAAGGAAAGAGAGAAGGAAGGATGGAACCAAAGAGCAAAGGAAGGAAGGAAGGAGGTAGAGAAGAAAGGAGAAGTAGGGAAAGAAAAGGGGGGAAGGAAGGAAAAGCGGGAAGGAAGGAAACTAAAAAAGAGAAGGAAGGAAGAAAAGAGATAGGGACAGAAGGAAAGATGGAGAGAAAGAGGTAGGGAAGGGAGAAAGGGGAGAAAGAGGAAGGGAAAAAGAAGAGAAGGAAGGAAGGAGAGGGAGAAAGAAAAAAGGGAGGAAGGAAGGAATGAAAGAGGGAAGGAGGGAAGGAAGGAGAGAAAGAAAGAAAGAAAGAAAGAAAGAAAGAAAGAAAGAAAGAAAAGGAGAGAAAGAGGGAAGGTTGGCCACAGCAACGCGTGGTGGGTCCAGCTAGTTGATAATAGAAATGCATAGTAATGCAGTGAACAAGTAAGCTTTGGGTAGGGATGTGTGTGGAAGAGATTGTATGAGTCTAATTTGTTGTTCAGGAAAGGCAAACCTACCTCCTCTCAGAAAAAGCAATGTACAAATGTAGTTAGGGGAAAATGTTTTGTTTTTCTTTTGGCTTCAAAAGCAATTGATTTATAATCTCTATTTTTTATGTTTCCTTTGGACAGATTGTTCAGTTTGACTTTGAAAAAGCTCATCATGCTGAAGGAGCTGGACAAAGATTTAAATTCGGTGGTGATTGCTGTGAAACTACAGGTAACATGCCTTGAGGGAGTGAGGAGGTTAAAAACTGTTTACTGACCTGAGCAGTTGCCAAGCTCACCGGGTGTTCCTTGGGCAACTTCCTTGCAGACGGCCATTTCTCTCACACCAGAAGCGACTTGCAGTTTCTCAGTTCGCTCCTGACACACACAAAATAAATAAGAAGATATGATAAGATAATCAAACCTTTCTCCCATAAATGTAAGAAGAAAGGGTTACACTTGCCAAGGTGCCCGTGAATCTTAACTAATAGTCTTACAGGATGACCTGAACCAAGGTTAGTGACATAACTCGCTGAGAAGGAAGGTTACTGTCCCCTTTGCCAAGAATCCGAAATCAAATTTCGTTCTTTGAACATGTGGTAATTCCTGTGGGTAGTCTCCTTTTGTCAAACCTGCAGGGTCCATCATCGGTGTTAGCTGTTGGTAGTCATTTCGCTTTCAAATTCTCAAATAGTTCTGGAAATGGGTCAAATCTCTTGATCAGTCAAACAGGCACATCTTAGCATTACCATACCTGTTCCTTTAATATGTTTTGGGGTTTTTCATATACCTTCCATCTTTGAAGAAAAAAACTGTTGTGCATATTTCCTCAGGGGTCAAAGAGAATCCTGAGGTCCAATGAGATTGTCTTGCCGGTCAGTGGACTTGTGGAAACAGAGCTGCAGCTGACCTTCTCATTGCAGGTTAGTACAGAGGAACTAAATATCAGCCCTTTCCGATGTATGTGTTCTGCAGGATGGAATGTCAATTATTTCATAAACGTGTGAGAATGAAATTATATTTTTATGTCTAATATGTCTTTGATGATTTGCTAGCACTGTTATTTGAAGCTGATGTTATGATGCTGTCAATAGAAGCAGATTAGTTCTTATTTATTTACTAGCCGCCCCCTGCCACGCGTTGCTGTGGCCCACTCTGGTGGTCATGGGGGTTCTGTGTGGGAGGTTTGGTCCAATTCAATCGTTGGTGGGGTTCAGAATGCTCTGTAATTGTATGTTCAGAAAATACCCGATTATTTTCATCAGTGCCTCGATTACTGGATGGCTGCGTGCCAGCAGGTTGAGGGTGAATCCAGCAAAGACGGAGATCCTATGGCTGGGTCAACCAGGCAGTGGTGATATCCAGCTGCCTACCCTGGGTGGCAAGGCGCTACGCCCGTCATCATTGGTAAAGAGTCTGGGAGTCCTTTTGGACCCTCTGCTGACGATGGAGGCCCAGGTCTCCGCCGTTAGCAGAACCGCCTTTTTTCATCTGCGGCAGGCTAGACGGCTGGCCCCCTCCCTGTCCAGGGACGACCTAGCTACGGTGATCCAGGCTACGGTCATCTCAAGACTGGACTACTGTAACACCCTCTACATTGGCCTTCCTCTGTCGGTGATCCGGAAGCTCAAGTTGGTACAAAATGCAGCTGCTCGGCTTCTTGCGGGAATTCCGATGAGATGCCACATAACACCAATCTTACTACAGCTGCATTGGTTACCAATTGAGCACCAGATCACTTTCAAAGTGATGGTACTCACCTTTAAGGCCTTGCATGGTCTGGGGCCAATGTACCTGAGGGACTGCCTCACCCCCTACCAACCCCAGAGATCCCTCCGTTCTGAAGACCAAGATCTATTGGAAATTCCCAGCGTCAAGACCTTGCGTCTAACAGCAACTAGACGCAGAGCCTTTACAGCAGTGGCACCATCACTCTGGAATACTCTGCCACCTGAAGTCCGTGCCTTGCGGGACTTATCAGCTTTCCGCAGGGCATGTAAGACATACCTGTTTCGACAGGCCTTTGACTTTTGATATTGCTGTTTTTAAATTGTTTTAAATTGTTTTTAAATTGTGTTAGATTTTCGCCATTCTTGTAAGCCGCTCCGAGCCCCAGGGGAGTGGCGGCATATAAGTTCGAATAATAAATAAAAATAAATGAATAAATAAACTACAACTCCTAAATGTCAAGATTCTATTTTCCCCAAACTCCACCAGTGTTCACATTTAGGCATGTTGAGTATTCATGTAGAGTTTGGTCCAGATCCATCATTGTTTGAGTCCACAGTGATCTCTGGATGTAGGTGAACTACAACTCCAAAATCAAAGGACACTGCCCACCGAACCCTTTTAGTATTTTCTGTTGGTCCTGGGAGAACTGTGTGCCAAGTTTGGTTCAATTCCATCATTGGTGGGATTCAGAATGCTCTTTGATTGTAGGTGAACTATAAATCCCAGCAACTACAACTCCCAAATGACAAAATCAATTTTTTTGACTAAAGGACATACATTGGGTTGTTAGATGTCCTGTGTCCAAATTTGGTGTCAATTCGTCCAGTGGTTTTTGAGTTCTGTTAATCCCACAAATGAACATTACATTTTTATTTATATAGATTTCCTATATTTATATCCCGCCCTTCTCCCCCCAAAGGGGGACTCAGGGCAGCCTAACAAAAGCATCATACGATGCTAGCATCATAAAAATCAACCACAATACAATCAAAAATTAAAAATTAAAACAATTAATTAAGACACATCCATTAAAATCGAAATCCAAAAACCAGTTTGGGTCAATTCACTGCCATAAGTTGTGTGATCTTCTTCCACTTGCTTGATTTTCCTTCTAAAAGACAAGAGGGAGGTGGCCAATCTGATATCTCTACGGAGGGCATTCCATAGGCAGGGGGTCACTTCTGAGAAGGCCCTGTCTCTCGTCCCCATCAACCGCGTTTGTGATAGTGGTGGGATCGAGAGCAGGGCCCCTCCTGAAGATCTTAAACTTCGTGATGATTCGTGGCAGGAGATACGTTTGGACAGGTAGTCTGGGCCAGAACCGTTTAGGGCTTTAAAGGTTAAAACCTTTACGTGATCGCATCTCTGTATACGAACCCACACGATCCCTTCGATCTTCCGGAGAGGCCCTGCTCTCGATCCCACCAGCATCGCAGGCGCGTTTGGTGGGGACGAGGGAGAGGGCCTTTTCGGTGGTGGCCCCTCGACTCTGGAACTCACTCCCTAAAGACATCAGACAGGCCCCAACCCTGGCAGTCTTCAGGAGGAGCTTGAAGACGTGGCTGTTCCAGTGTGCCTTCCCGGAATAATGAATCCCATAGCACTTTGTCCTCCAAAGCACTTTACATTTCCCTGAGTCTGCTTGTATGCCCTCCACAAACACTAGTATCACCTTTCGTTCATGGCCCAGCATTATTTCCAATTTTAACTCTACATTTGGCCTTCCCACTGTTTTAATTATGTGTTGCTTTTTTGATAATGTTGTGTATTTTATTGTCTATGTTTTTTAATTGCTTGTATTGATGTTGTTTGTATTGTTGTGTTTGGGCTCGGCCTCATGTAAGCCGCACCGAGTCCCTTGGGGAGATGGTAGCGGGGTACAAATAAAGTTAATAATAAATAAATAATAAATAAATAAAACTAGCACTTTGAATTGTGCTCGGAAGCTGATCGGTAGCCAATGGAGTTGGCGTAACAAAAGGAGTTGTATGTTCCCTGTAGGCCGCTTCGATGAGCGACCTGGCTGCCGACCGTTGGACTAGTTGAAGCTTCTGGGCAGTCTTCAAAGGCAGCCCCATGTAGAGTGCATTGCAGTAGTCTATTCTTCACCATTTTTGCCTGGTCAGGAGCCTAAAATCTTGCAAAGCTTAAATTAGTTAGTCTATTTATAGAGGTATCGTGATCAGCCTGCTTTCTTTCCTGCAGGATTTGGTTTTTCATGACAAAAGTTCGCCTTTTAAAAAGCTATTTCCTTTGACTTATCTTTTGCAGTATCCTCACTTCCTGAAACGCGATGCAAACAAGCTGCAGATCATGTTGCAGCGAAGGAAGCGATATAAAAACAGGACCATCCTGGGCTACAAAACGTTGGCTGTTGGTCTTATCAACATGGCTGAGGTAATACAAATGGAGGGGACACAGTAGAGATAGTCATACATGATATTTGTATGTTGTTGTTGGTGGCCTTGGCCTTTGTAAGCCATATCGAGTCCTTCGGGAGATTTTGCGGGGTATAAATAAAGATAATAATAATAATAATAATAATAATAAGCCTCCTAGTAAGAACAATGTCTCAGGGAGAACAAAAGAGATCCTATTGCACTATGAAAATATTGGATGATTCCAAGTACATAGATTGTATGTTAACCTATTTCCTTTAATTCTTTTTCCTTTTCTGATGATTTTATAAGTGAGTAGGAGCCATATACTTTTTATGTTGAGAAGGGAATCACTTAAAAATTTAATCTGCATTTCATCAGTGGATTTTAACTTGTATTTTAATTCTGTATATCATTTTGTATGTGTTTTAATAGTGTTTTATCTCATGTTTAACAATATTGCACCTTGCCTCGAGCTGAAGGGAGAAATGGCTAAATTATTATTATTATTATTATTATTATTACTATTATTATTTGAAACACAACAAGATGAGTCCACAACAGACACTTGGCTGGCTGTTGAATTGTCTAGGACTGTGTGATGTATCAGCGAATGATGCGTGCAGATCCCAATAAGGTGGCCTTTTGCATCTAGCAGATGGTAATTTTGTCAGCGCCGATTGTGTTTAAGTGCAGGCCCAGGTCTTTAGGCACTGCATCCAGTGTGCCGATCACCACTGGGACCCCCTTGACTGGCTTGTGCCAGAGTCTTTGCAGTTCGATCTTTAAATCCTCATATAGTGTCAGCTTTTACTGTTGTTTCTCTGCAAACCTGCTGTCACCTGGGATTGCGACATCCACGATCCATACTTTGTTTTTTGACACCATTGTGAAGTCAGGAGTGTTGTGCTCCAGAACTCTATCTGTCTGAATTTGGAAGTCCCAGAAGAGTTTGGCGTGTTCATTCTCTGTAACATTTTCCGGCTTGTGATCCCACCAGTTCTTTGTCGCAGGCAGATGGCATTTGTGGCACAAGCTCTCCAATGAATCAGCTGAGCAACGGTGTTGTGCCTCTGCTTGTAGTCTGTCTGCGCGATCTTCTTGCAGCAGTTGAGGATGTGATCTATTATTATTATTATTATTATTATTATTATTATTATTTGTTTTTGTATGTGTGATATACACAGATATCAAAACTGAGTTAACTCTGGATTCCCCTTGAGTTAAGTTTCTGAATCTGTTCTGAAATGTCACCATGCTTTTCTTTTCCAGGTTATGCAACATCCAAGTGAGGGAGCCCTGGTGTTGGGACTCCACAGCAACGTGAAAGATGTCTCTGTCCCTGTTGCGGAAATCAAAATCTATTCCCTGTCCAGTCAACCAATAGATCACGAGGGACTCAAATCTAAATTATCTGGTAAGGCATTCTGAGGGCTCACGCATACAGAACATTGGCATCTGGGCATGATGTGTTTGCTTGCACCTGTCTAAAGGAATACAGTTTTAGAGTTGTTACAGTACTTGGTGGCCCAGGTGGTGTTCGTAATGTTTGTCATTTGATAGAGCAGGGGTCCTCAAACCTTTTAAACAGAGGGCCAGGTCACAGTCCCTCAAACTGTTGCAGGGCTGGATTATAATTTGAAAAACAGTGAATTGCTATGCACACTGCACATATCTTATTTGTAGTGCAAAAAACACTTTAAAACAGTGGTTCTCAACCTTCCTAATGCCATGACCCCTTAATACAGTTCCTCATTTTGTGGTGACCCCCAACCATAAAATTATTTTTGTTGCTACTTCATAACTGTAATTTTGCTTCTGTTGTGAATTGTAATGTGAATATCTAATATGCAGGATGTATTTTCACTCACTGGACCAAATTTGGCACAAATACCCAATACGCCCAAATTTGAACACTGGTGGGGCTGGTTGATTTTGTCATTTGGGAGTTGTAGTTGCTGGGATTTATAGTTCACCTACAAACAAAGAGCATTCTGAACTCCACCAATGATGGAATTGAACCAAACTTGGCACACAGGACTCCCATGACCTTCAGAAAATACTGGGCACTGACATTGAATTTTGGAGTTCACTAACATCTAGAGAGCACTGTGGACTCAGTGATGGATCTGGACCAAACTTAATATGGATACTCAAGATGCCCAAATGTGAACACTGGTGGAGTTTGGGGGAAATAGTCCTTGACATTTGGGAGTTGTAGTTGCTGGGATTTATAGTTCACCTACCATCAAAGAGCATTCTGAACCCCACCGACAATAGAATTGGGTTAAATTTCCCACACAAAACCTCTATGACCAACAGAAAATACTGTTTTCTAGTGGTATTTGGTGACCCCTCTGACACCCTCTTGTGACCCCCCCCCCGGGGTCCCGACCCCCAGGTTGAGAAACGCTGCTTTAAAACAATAGAATAATTAAAATGAAGAACAATTTTAACAAATATAAACGTCTTATTATTTCGATGGGAAATGTGGGCCTGCTTTTGGCTGTTGAGATAGGTTTGTTGTTGTTGTGTGCTTTAGGTTGACCCTGAGCGAGGGCCAGGTAAATGACCTTGGAGGGCCATATCCGGCCCCCGGGCCTTAGTTTGAGGACCCGTGTGGTAGAGAATAACCCCAGTACTCTTTGGAAGTTCAGTTATACCCTTTCATTTCACTTTGTTTTGACAATCAAAGCAAATTCCTTCAAACAGTGCTATATTTAGCTGTATGTTTTGGAATTTTATGATACTCCCTCCTGAATTGCAGCCTAGGCCGAAAAACAAAAACAACAACCCCCCACCCCCCAAAACCATGGTTGCTAAGGAAACTGATTGTGATTTAGACTCTTTGCTAGATTTATTCTGATATTCTGATTTATTACCAGCAATATTTTGAGGGACCAGATGGGAAAGAGGAGTCTGGGAAATGAGATGAAGTCATCATTCCGGACTCCAGTCCTGTTTGTGCACTTGCAGTTTCCATAGAATGGAAACTCCTCCATTTAAGCAGAAAAGTGTCAGATGTAATGTGAACATAATTTGTAATGCTTATTTGATAGAGAAGAACAGGAATAATGTGTTGTCGAAGGTTTTCATAGCTGGAATCACTGGGTTGCTGTGAATTTTTTGGGCTGTATGGCCATGTTCCAGAAGCATTCTCTTGTGACGTTTCACCCACATCTATGGCAGGCACCCTCAGAGATTGTGCCATAGATGTGGGCGAAATGTCAGGAATCATAGAGTCATAGAATCATTGACTCCTAGAGTTGGAAGAGACCTCATGGGCCATCCAGTCCAACCCCCTGCCAAGAAGCAGGAATATTGCATTCAAAGCACCCTGACAGATGGCCATCCAGGCTCTGTTTAAAAGCTTCCACCACACTCCAGGGCAGAGGGCTCTACTGCTGAACGGCTCTCACAGTCAGGAAGTTCTTCCTAATGTTCAGATGGAATCTCCTCTCCTGTAGTTTAAAGCCATTGCTCCATTGCGTCCTAGTCTCCAGGGAAGCAGAAAACAAGCTTGATCCCTCCTCCTTGTGACTTCCTCTAACATATTGATACATAGTCCCTGTTGAACTTCATTTTGTCAGTTTTGGCCAATCATCTCTCTAATCTGTCAAGATCATTTTGAATCCTGCTCCTGTCCTCTGGAGTATTGGCTCTCCCTCCCAATTTGGTGTCGTCTGCAAACTTGATGATCCTGCCTTCTAGCCCTTCATCTAAGTCATTAATAAAAATGTTGAACAGGACTCACATATTTATACATGGCTAACATGCCTCCTCTCATCCTTCTCTTCTTCAGGCTAACATGCCCAGCTCCCAGCTCCTTAAGCTGCTCCTCATAGGGCTTGTTCTCCAGACCCTTGATCATTTTAGTCGCCCTCCTCTGGACTCATTCCAGCTTGTCAATATCTCTCTTCAATTGTGGTGCCCAGAATTGGACACAATACTCCAGGTGTGGTCTAACCAAGCATTAAGATCATTTTCCTACTTGACAGATGCAACTGTCTTTCGGGTTGCAAAGGTCGACAACAAGCTACACAATTGGTCGGAAGCTCACTCATTAAGAATTGCATTAAGATTACTTCTGACCAAAAGGTCATGAGGAGAGGATGCTTCTGGAACATGGCCATATAGCATGGAAAACTCACATCAACCCATAACAGGGACTGTGGCACAGCTGTCTGAGTGTCAGCTGCATCAAGATCACTTCTGACCATGAGGTCATGAGTTCGAAGCCAGCCCAGGTCGGAGTGAGTTTCCAACCAATTGTGTAGCTTGTTGTCGACCTTTGCAACCTGAAAGACAGTTGCATCTGTCACATAGGAAAATTAGGTACCACCTATGTGTGGGGAGGCCAATTTACATGGCCATAAAAAAGATTCCAGCAAAGCATACGGGGAATGCGGAAGTACTTCATCAGTGTTGCAGATGGACGATGAAAGCGACAGCTCCCCTAGCGGCCAGAAAAGTTAAATAGCCTCTGACTGTCTGTCTATATCTTTTGTGTGTTTTTGGCATTGAATGTTTTCCATATATGTGTACATTGTAATCCCCCCTGAGTCCCCTGCGGGGTGAGAAGGGCGGAATATAAATACTGTAAATAAATAAATAAAATAAATAATGATTGGTAGGAGCAAATAAGGGATAGCTTTTTAAAAATTACATCTATGTTTAATCTTTCCTTGAAGAAGTGAGGTGAGTAGCAGAGTCACAAATTTGATCCATGCCCCACAAATAAATGTCACAGTGATACACCTCAGGACTTTCTTGACTAGTCAAATTTAGCATACCGACTTCTGATAATCTTCCAGATCGTTCTCCGGATATTGACAACTATTCGGAAGAAGAGGAAGAGAGTTTCTCCTCTGAACAGGAAGGAAGCGATGATCCCCTGCATGGGCAGGTAAGCTTCTCTGTTTACATGGTCAGTGCTTTCTTTTTATTGATGGAGTGATTTGTAACACTCACAATCAACATAATATACATTGAAAAAGAGAAAAAAGTATTATTCTACCATTACAAATGCTGCTAAATAATCTCATTAAAATGATTAGCAACCACAAATTACATTGTTAGATTCATTAGAGTCTCGCTTATCCAACTTCCACTTATCCAACATTCTGTATTATCCAACGCAGTCTGCCTCCCACCTGGATCCACAGTTGTTTCAATACATTGCGATGTTTTGGTGCTAAATTCATAAATACAATAATTACTACATAATGTTACCATGTATTGAACTGCTTTTTCTGTCTATTTGTTGTAGAACATGATGTTTTGGTGCTTAATTTGTAAAATCATAACGTAATGTGATGTTTAATAGGCTCTTCGTTAATTTCTCCTTGTTATCCAACATTTTCGCTTATCCAATGTTCTGCCGGCCCTTTATGTTGGACTAGCTGTACCCGCCACGCGTTGCTATGGCCAACCTTCCCTCTTTCTCTCCTTCTTTCCCTCCTTCCTTCACTCCCTCTTTCCTTCCTTCCTTCCTTCCTTCCGTCTTTCCTTCTCTTCTTCCTTCTCTATCTCTTTCCTTCCTTCCCCTTTTTCTTTCTCTTCTCCTGTCTCTCTTTCCTTCTTCGCATCCCTCCCTCTTTCTCTACATCTTCCCCCTTCCTTCACTCCCTCTTTCCTTCCTTTCCCTTTTTTCTTTCCTTCTCTCCTTCCTTCCTTCTCTAACTTTCCTTCCTTCCCCCTTTTTCTTTCCCTCCCTCTTTCTCTCCTTTCTTCCTTCTCTACCTCTTTCCTTCCTTCCTTCTCTCTTTGCTTCCATGCTTCCTTCTCCCTTTCCTTCTTTCCTTCCCTTCCTCTTTCTTTTCCTTCCTTCCTTCCTTTCTTTTCTCCCCTTCCCTCCCTCTTTCTTCTCTTTTTTCTGTATTGTCATTTAGCTTTTCATCATTTAGCTTTTGGGGGCTTTTTAAGTCCTTTCTGCTGCGTTTTTCAGTGTTTTTATGAGTGAAGGACATACATTGGGTTGTTAGGTGTCTTGTGTCCAAATTTGGTGTCAGTTCTCCCAGTGGTAGCCCCCGGTGGCGCAGTGGGTTAAAGCACTGAGCTGCTGAGCTTGTTGATCGAAAGGTCGCAGGTTCCATTCTGGGGAGCGGCGTGAGCTTCCGCTGTCAGCCCTAGCTTCTGCCAACCTAGCAGTTCGAAAACATGCAAAATGTGAGTAGATCAATAGGTACCGCTCCGGCGGGAAGGTAACGGTGCTCCATGCAGTCATGCTGGCCACATGACCTTGGAGGTGTCTATGGACAACGCTGGCTCTTCGGCTTAGAAATGGAGATGAGCACCACACCCCAGAGTCAGACATGACTGAATGTCAGGGGACTACCTTTACCTTTACCTCTCCCAGTTGTTTTGAGTTCTGTTAACCCCACAAACGAACATTACATTTTTATTTATATAGATAAGCAAGACTCTGCTGTGTTGCTAAAAAAATCCATAAAAGTTTCTCAGCCTTTCAAGATATTTTCAGTTGGTTTGTCCTTCAAAACCTGCTAATTTACCAACTTATCAACCTTAACAATCCAGTCTTCTCTTGCCAGTGCTTTGGTCTGTTTGCAAGTTTGACAGACTGTGACAAACACAACAAATAGGTAATAGTAATAATGATGATGTGTGAATATAAATACCTTAATGAGGATGCGGAGGATGAACGCTGCTTGCATTTTGAATTTGACCATGTCATCGTTTCTCCCCAGGATTTGTTTTATGAAGAAGAAGACCTTAGAAAGGTGAAAAAGACTAGGAGGAAACTGACTTCAGCTTCTGCAGTTACTCGGGTGAGTAGTGTTGCAAGCGTGTTTGACAGGCAAGGAGTTCCATCCTTCTCTTTTCCCTTTTCCCTTCCATTTGCAGGTTTTTATTTATTTATTTACTATATTTATACCCTGCCCTATCTCACCATGAAGGGAAAGGAAAGGGAACAAATATTATTTATTATTTATTTAAAACATTTATATTCCGCCCTTCTCACCCCGAAGGGGACTCAGGGCGGAGCACAGCATATACACGGCAAACATTCAATGCTGGGACACATACCATACATAAATATTACAAAACATTTATCAAAATATTAAAATACACCATTTAAAACTGTTCTAGGCAAATCTAATTGTCCTGGTAATCTTTCCTATTGCCGCTTTATTGCCCTGTCCCGAATAATAATATTACTACTACTACTACTACTACTACTACTACTAATAATAATAATAATAATTTTATTTATACCCTGAAACCATCTCTCCAAGGGACTCGGTGCGGCTTACATGAGGCCAAGCCCATAGTACATCAATAAACAAAGGCAATAACAAAATAATAAATACAAAACAGTTTAAAAATCCCATAAACAAAATAAACTATAAACAATAAGCAATAACAATAACACACAGCATTTAAAAACCTATGGCCGGGCCAAATGTAATAATTTAAAATTAAAAAAAAATGTTGGGCATGAACAAGGTAGGGTATAACTAGGATAGGGTTTTCAAAGAAAGATGGGGGCGTGCAGACAATCCTAAATCAATCTTAAAGTACATATTGAGGACATATTGCTAAGAGTTTTCCTTATTCTGGGAAGGCACACTGGAACAACCACGTTTTCAAGCTCCTCCTAATCAGACATGGGGCATGCCTGATGTCCTTGGGAAGTGAGTTCCAGAGTTGGGGGGCCACAACCGAGAAGGCCCTCTCCCTCATCCTCACCAATCATGCCTGCGAAGGAGGTGGGAGTGCTAGCAGGGCCTCTCCAGTAAAATACATACAACTTTTGAGTGCAAAGACGATAAAGCAAAATCATACACAGTAAAATAACATAACAATGAGCGGGCCGCATGTGCAAGATAAAAACTAAGATACTAAAAATACTAAAATCAGGATGAGATAGGGATGGAGCAGATTGTTTGTGGGAGAGAAACTCATAAAGGAACGGGGTCATAAATATAGACCTTCCTAGAGGTGGGGAAATATACTCTGGGGGACAAAAACCGTTGAGGGGAAGCAACTGAGTATGATAATATGGCTACTCTCCAAAAGCGCATCGGAAAAGCCAGGTGTTGAGATCCCGCTTGAAAATTTCTAAGGTGGGGGCCTTCCTAATCTCACTGGGCAATGAGTTCCAGAGTTGGGGGGCCACAGAGGAGAAGGCTCTCTCCCTTGTGCTTACAAGAAGAGCCTGTGATAATGGCAAGGGCGAAAGGAGAGCCTCCCCCGAGGATCTAAGAGCTCGGGCTGGTTCATGGAGAGACATCTCCATGGAGAGAGAGAGATCTGGGTCCCAAGCTGTTTAGGGCTTTACAGATGATAACCTGCACCTTGAATTGGGTCGGGAAGACAAACGGCAGCCAGTGAAGCTCCTTAAACAGGGGAGTTGACCTTTCCCTGTAATTCGCCCCAGTTATTAATCTGGCTGCTGCACGTTGAACGAGTTGTAATTTCTGGGCTGTCTTCAAGGGTAACCCCACATAGAGTGCATTGCAGTAATCCAGTCTAGAGGTAGTTATAGGTGGAATCTCTTTTCCTGCAATTTGAATCCATTGCTACATTGCAGCAGAAAAGAAGCTTGCCCCCTCCTGAGTAGGACATTGAGCTTCTTTTCTCCAAGCTAAACATCCCCAGCTCCCCCAGCAATTTCTCACAGAGCTTGGTTTCCAAACCTTTGATTATTTTGGTTGCTCTTCTCTGGACACAGATTCACTTTAACTATTGGGCTGTATGCTGCAGTAGGAGAGAGACAAGACTTAATCAAAAGTACCTATAAAAACATGCGGGCAAACATTAAGTCCGATATCTCTGCCAATTTAGGCAAAGCTTCCAGGTATCCGTGATCCTTGGCACTGCGCTCTAGTAAATTAAGTACTTATAATGCCTTTCCTTTCTCTTTGTGTCTAGTAAATTTGTACTCATTGCTCCTTAATGCTTAGCTTTGAGGACAAGACTTTTAAGCACTTTCTGAGCAGCGTTCATGAAATATGCATACTCTGAAGCTTGAACTAATGAAAGGCACACTTTTGTCAGGTTTGCAAGCTAAGCAAGATCGCTGTGAACAACTTACTGGAAAGTTTAAAGGTTTTGAGTAATGCGGAGATTCTGAAGAGATATGTGTTTGAGCATTTTAAACAGAATTGGGTTTTTTCCCCATTTTTGTCAACTTTTTGCTGGCCACTTGAAACCTCTGCCCAGAGAAAGGTGGGATATAACTTCTATATAAATAAAAATGCAATGTTCGTTTGTGGGGTTAACATAACTCAAAAACCACTGGACGAATTGACACCAAATTTGGACACAATACACCTAACAATCCAACGAGTGTCCATCACCTCTAAACACGCACGCACACACAAAACCCCAGTGGAACAAACTTAACCACCCCCCCAAAATACACAATATATACATATACACATACAGTCATATACTTATACACATGCACACATTCATACGCACACACACACATATATATATATATATATATATATATATGCACAAACACACACAAATACACACACACATACATATACATATATATTCATATATACATGCACACACATATACATATATACATACACACAAATATGCGTATAGACAAGCACACACATATACACAATATGCATGTATACATATAAACACACAAATCTATATATATAAAAATGCTCTGTGCTTAATGAGTACCTTAAAAACAAAAAAAACCAATGAACGAAATCACACCATATTGGGCAACAAAACGTCTCACAACACAAGGAGTGACGATCACTCAAAAAATTATGATTTTGTCATTTGGGAGTTGTAGTTCACCTACAATCAAAGAGCATTCTGGACTCCATCAACGATGGAATTGAACCAAACTTGGCACACAGAACTCCCATGACCATCAGAAAATACTGGAAGGGTTTGGTAGGCATTGACCTTGAGTTTGAGAGTTGTAGTTCACCTACATCCAGAGAGCACTGTAAAGAATGATGGATCTGGACCAAACTTGGCACAAGCACTCAATACGCCCAAATATGAACACAGATGGAGTTTGGGGAAATAGACATTTGGGATTCACAGTTCACCTACAATCAAAGAGCATTCTGAACCCACGAACGACAGAATCGGGGCAAACTTCCTACACAGAACCCCCATGACCAACAGAAAATACTTAAGGCCATCCAGTCCAACTCCCTTCATCAGGGCAAGAAAACGTAATCAAAATCCTCCTGACAAAGAGCTGTACAGCCATAGATATAGATAGATAGATATGATTCATACACAGATATAGTATCATAGATTTGAAAGGGACCCTTAAAGGACAATGATATGTTGCACTCTCCACATCAACACTGACAAACAGCAAGAAATACTGTTTACCCACAAGCATAAAGAAATTACATATATTAGAAACCAACACTTTCTCATTACTTTATTTCCCAGATCAACAGACTGGACCACAGCAACGCGTGGCAGGGGACAGCTAGTACACATATATACACACACATACACACACACACACACACACACACACATATATATATATACAAAAACACATATATATACACACACAAACACATAGATACACACACAAAACACATGTACACAGACTGGGCCACAGCAACGCGTGGCAGGGGTCTGCTAGTAAACAAATAAATACACAAACATGCTCCCATTGGGTGCATTATATACTGGGATGCTAAATTGCTGGTGTGGTTTTCTATCCCATGTCTCCTGGATCATTTAAGTCAAGGATCCTCAAACTAAGGCCCGGGGGCCGAATACAGCCCTCCAAGGTCATTTACCCGGCCCTCGCTCAGGGTCAACCTAAGTCTGTAATGACTTGAAAGCAATATATTGTCGAAGGCTTTCATGGCCGGAATCACTGGGTTGTTGTAGGTTTTTTCGGGCTATATGGCCTTGTTCTAGAGGCATTCTCTCCTGACGTTTCGCCTGCATCTATGGCAGGCAAGCATCCCCAGAGGTAGTGGGGTCAGGAGAGAATGCCTCTAGAACATGGCCATATGTCAGGATGTGGCCTTCGAGTTATGATAACACGTCCAGGGCCTCGAAGCCTGCCTCCCTGACAGAGAGTTGGTTTATGGTTTGATTAGGGGAGCCATCTGGCAGAAGAGGATCCTTTGTAGATGTGGGAATGGAATGTAGCCACAACTTGAGAAAAGGGGGGAAGAAGGGGGGAGGAACCCAGGGAGATGTATCACTGGACTTTGGCGGAAAACCTTCAGATCTCTCTTTCTCTGAACCCTGTAAGGACTGAATAAACCCGTATTCAAGAAACCTGCCTTGTGAGCGTGGATTTGTTCTAAGATCTAGCAGGAACTGACATAAAGAGAGATCTCACAAACTTCTTGCTCAATCCGTGAGGAGCAATCTATCCGGGAAGCAAGCTATGTTCGGGGACGAGCCATTCATGGGGGCCAAGGCCAGCGCGGATGCCTCCCCACCGGCAGGGCTCGCGGACGAGTCAGAGGACGAGCCATTCCCCGGAGAGGAGAACCTGGAGGAAGGGGCCCCTGCTGCTTGGCCATTGATGACCTCCATGCAGATGCCGGCTCGGAAGGACGTGACGGTGAGGCGCAAGCTGCCCATGTCGGGGCTCCAGGAACCATTCGGGGCGCCCTCGTCAGATACGAAGCGACTAGAGGAAAAGGTCGATGCCATGGAGCGAATGCTGCAGACCTTCTCCTTCCAGCTAGATGAAATGCGAAAGGAAGTAGCGGCGTCATGGAAAGCAGCCCTGACGGAGAGAGAGCAGAGGCGCTCACAGACGCAAGGTACCGGGTATCGACCCTCAGGGAGAGTGGGGTTTGTAGCAGAGGGAGAGCAGCCTTACCCCGCCTCCCGGGACATCAGCGTTCACCATGGGGCTACTGGGGAGAAGCCAGCTACCTAGTGGCCCCGGGAGAGGAGAGCTGCGCGTCAAGTTTAATGGCGACCCGAAGCAGCTGTCTTACTTTATAACTAATGTGAGACACTTTATGGAGGATTACGAGGATACCTTCCCCTCGGAGGGAGCCATGATCCACGCCGTGGGGGCCAACCTGAAAGACGCAGCAGCTGACTGGTTGATGCAGATGTATGATACTCGAGCGCCCGAGTTGAGGAGATTGAATGATTTTCTCAGAGCGCTCCGAGAGAGGTTCCAGGACCCTTTAGCTGAGGAGAAAGCGAAGGGGCAGCTAAAAAAGGTTTACCAGGGAAACAAGACTGTGTCTGAGTATGCCCTGGAATTTAAGGCTATAGCTGGCAGAATCAGAGACTGGTCTGAGACCACCAAGCTGGAATATTTCCGAGCCGGGCTGCTGCACAGACGTGCTCGAATGGGCGATGCATAGGGACAACCCCGACAATTTAGAAGACTGGATCGTCTTGGCCGGGCGGGTCGAATGTGACCAGGAGCAGATGCCACGTCGGGCTCGAGAGAGGGGACGAACCCGACACCCCGCGGCCGGCCAACCCGGAGGAGTGAGGTACCTCTCTCCCAGGGGGAGAACGTCCAGCCGCGAGAGGAGAGGAAAGAGGGTGACATGGTTTATTTATCTACCAAATACCTGAGATCCACGCAGGCATCCCGTAAGTTGGCGGCACGCTTTGTGGGCCCGTTCCCGGTCCGGGAAGTGATAAACCCAGTGGCGGTCCGTCTCGATTTGCCGCACACATGGAGAAAGGTGCACCCAGTGTTTCACGTCAGCCTGCTGAAACCTGCATGTTCTTCCTATAAGTGGTCAGAGCCCGATTCGCAGCCCATCCCCATCATGGTGGGGGCCCATACTCATTTTGAGATTAAAGACATTTTAGACTCTAAGCGGACCCGGGGCAAACTCTATTATCTGGTTCAATGGTCCTCTCGGGCCATACATCCTGAATGGGTATTGAGAGAACATGTCAAGGCGCCCCGCCTGGTCAAGAAATTCCATGCGGCTTTTCCATATAGGCCGGCTCCTTGATGTTGTTTCTGACATGTCTTTTTTTTCTTTCTTGCCCGAAAAAACCTATATAGCCCGAAAAAACCTATAACAACCCAGACTTGAAAGCACACAACAACAACAACAACAACAACAACAACAAGTTTATATTTGTTAAAATTCTTCTTCATTTTAATCATTGTATTGTTTTTAAGTGTTTTTTGCACTACAAATAAGATATGTGTAACGTGCATAGGAATTCATACATGTTTTTTTCAAATTATAATCCAGCCGTCCAGCAATTTGAGGGACTGTGACCTGGCGCTCTGTTTACAAAGTTTGAAGACCCCTGATTTAAGTTATATTTTTCAAAAGGCCTTGTTCTCTCAGTTTTTGCATAAGCCATAGACAGGATAAAGCACTCTACTTTCTTGAAAGATTTATTTATTATTTATTTATTATTTGCACTTGTTAACCGCCACTCTCAGCCCGGGGGCGACTCGTGGCGGTGTACAAAACATAGAACATAGAAAGACAACAGTTTACAATAAATCGAGACCATAACACAACATCTCACAAGTACACAACTAATTAAACTAAAAATCCGCTTCGTCTTGTTTGGGGTCATAACCAGTCTCATAGTCATGGTCCATTCCGGTGGTCATTCCAAAAACATAGCACTTAATTGAAGGCCTTTTCGAAGAGCCAGGTTTTCAGGCCCTTGCGGAAGGCCATGAGGGAAGGCGCCTGTCTTATTTCAGCAGGGAGGGAGTTCCATAGCCGGGGGGCCACCACCGAGAAGGCCCGCTCTCTCGTCCCCGCCAGGCGTGCCTGAGAGGCAGGCGGGACCGAGAGGAGGGCCTCCCCAGATGATCTCAAGGTCCTCGTGGGCTCGTAGGCCGAGATGTGGTTCTCAAGGTATTTTGATGCTTTTCTAACAAGTAAATGGTCCCTCTTTTTCACAGCAGCCAAATATTAAGCAGAAATTTGTGGCTTTGCTGAAGAGATTCAAGGTCTCAGATGAGGTAAGGTACCATTTTCTTTTTATTTTGAAATTTATAAAAAATTGATTCTACATGAGAAAGAATGTACTCAAAATGTATTGTATCAGTATATGATCTAACAAAATCCTAAAAATCAGAATATTTTGCAGAGAGAGTGATGACAGCATAACTTCCTGTTTTGTCTTTTGCTCTGTGGTTTTGAGATTTTGTTTGCTGTGTTTCGCTTTAAAATAATATTTGCCTTTCAGGCACTATACTTATTCATTTGTCATGTCAGAAGCAAATTGAGGGTACAGTTGTAATGTATTTAAAAGCACAAAGTTAAAAAAACTTGGTATTATACTACATTTCCTTTGACCAGAAGCTGGCCACTTGGAGTGCCTCTGCTGCCACTATAAGAAGGTTCTCCATTGAGCATATGGCAGGGCTCAGACTGCATTGTAGTAGGTAGTCTGTGGTTTGCTCTTCTCCGCACTCGCTTATCGTGGACTCCACTTTGTAGCCCCATTTCTGATGCTGCCAGCCTGTTCAGCACCTTCCAAGTTGCCCAGTCTTCTGTGTGCCCAGGAGGGAGTCTCTCATTTGGTATTAGCCATGGATTGTGGTTCCAGGTTTTAGCATGCCACTTTTGGACTCTCACTTGCTGAGGTGTGCCTGCGAGTATCTCTGTAGAACTTAGAAAACTATTTCTTGATTTAAGGCATTGGCGTGCTGACAGATATCCGAATAGCCTTGGTCCTTTCATTATTGGCTGCTACTTTGCGGCAGATGTCAGGTGGTGAAATACTGGCTAATCAGTATAATTTCTCCAGCGGTGTGGAGCGTAGTCATCCTGTGACAATGTGGCATGTCTCATTAAGAGCAACGTCCACAGTTTTAATATGGTGAGATGTATACCACACTGGGCATGCGTACTCAGCAGCAGAGTAGCAAAGTACAAAAGGCAGACGTCTTCACTGTGTCTGGTTGTAATCCCCAGGTTATGCCAGCTTTTGTATGATCATATATCTAGCACCCACTTTTTGCTTGATATTCAAGCAGTGCTTCTTGTAAGTCAGAGCACAGTCTAGGGTAATTCCCAGGTATTTGGGTGTGTTGCAATGCTCCAGTGGAATTCCTTCCCAGGTCATCCTCAGAGCTCAAGATGCTTGTCTGTTCTTAAGATGAAAAGCACATGTATGTGTTTTAGATGGATTAGAAATCAGTTGGCTTCCCCTGTAATAGGCAGTAAGAGCACCTAAAGCTTCAGAGAGCTTCTGTTCAACCATTCTAAAGCTCCCTGCTTGGGTGGTGGTGGCACAATCGTCAGCATAGATGAAACTCAGTGTCCCTTCTGGTATGGGTTGGTCATTTGTGTAAATGGTAAACATTGATGGAGCAAGCACACTCCCCTGAGGCAGGCCATTTTTCTGTTTTCTCCATCTACTTGTCTGAGCCTGGAACTCAACAAAAAAGCTCCTGTAGCGATCCTTTGTGATATTATGAATAGTGGTGACCCTTTGTGATATTATGAATTTTTTCTTAGGAGAAGGTGATGGTTTACAGTATTTGTAGCACTATACTTCTTTGCTTTGCAGGAAAGGACACAGTTTGGAAGATGTTTCAAGGTGAAATTGTTAAAGAGAACAGGGAAATGCTTGTTTGAAAACTACTTGCAGTTAAAAATAGCTGAATATAAAGTTTTTAGCTTAAGAAGTAGATACATCAAGTTCAACCTTGAAGAATAAGAAGTAGAATGTTTGCAAACTATTGTGTATCCTGATGCAACACCTTTCTCAAACAGGTTGGCTTTGGACTGGAGCATGTTTCTAGGGAGCAGATCCGGGAGGTAGAGGAGGATCTGGATGAGCTGTATGACAGCTTAGAGATGTATAACCCCAGTGACAGCGGCCCCGAGATGGAAGATACAGAGAGCATTCTCAGCACACCAAAGCCAAAACTCAAGTAAGTTCAACTGTAGAGGCTGCGCTCTTTTTTGTGCAATGTGTGCAGCCATGTGATATGATCTTCCTCTACAGCAGCAGTTCTCAACCTGGGGGTTGCCACCCCTCGGGGGGTCGTTCGGCCATTTTCTGGTGGTTGCGAAGCTGCATTAGCTGGCCACGCCCCCTCCAAAATGGTGGCTGACCTCCCTGAGCCACTGGCATTCCCGCGTGCGAAGCCACCCGCCCATCCCTCATCTCCTTCTGATGGCAGAAGGAGGCAAGGGATGGGCGAGTGGCTCAGTGGGTGGCTAGGCTGTGCGCGAAGCCATCCGCCCGTCCCTCGCCTCCTTCTGATGGCAGAAATATCTTCCAAAACATCCCTTGGGAAACTGAAACTCCTCGTCTTCAGTATCAACATTGTCTGTATCAACAACAGGAACATGTTCAGGAATCTGAAACCCATCATCTTCTTCCTGAGGCTCCAACTGAGCCACAACAACTCCCTTCAAACTTATAATGACTCCAAAACACACTCCTTCCTCTTCCCTTGAGAAATAAGCCCAAAGTGTACAGAATCCTGCTTTCCCATAGCAGGTCTGACACTCTCCTTCCCATGGAGCAGAGCATAGTGAATAAACAGTGTCTCTGTCACCATTTGAGAATTATTAGAGTGAGCCTTTTGTAGGAATATTTCTTCTGATGTAGTAAATAATTGTCCTGTTTGAAATTATCTTGAGCCTTCACCTCCTGACAGATGTATGTCTTCAGGTAATGAACCATTGTGTCCTGGGTTTGACTTGAAAGAACATAATAATAATTATTATTTATTTATTTATTTATTTATTTATTTATTTATTTATTTATATACTGCTCCATCTCCCCGAGGGGACTCAGAGCAGTTCCCAGGTAACATCACAAAACATACAAGGTAAAAAGCAACATAACCATAAGATTAACAAAACAAAATATAAGCATAAAAATTGTCGCCATAACACACATATATTAAAAATAATCCTGTCTGTTCAAGGCAATTTCAAAATGTAAAAAGGCCGGGCCAAGATCTGTGCAAGCCCAAAAATTCTAGGGGGACCAGGAATTAAGTGCAACGCTATGGCAGGCAACAATAATATTAGGTACGGGTCTGTGGCTGTTCATTCCGGGGCCGTTTAGAGGAAAGAATCTGGGTAACTAGTGGGGAGAATAAGACCGTATTCGACAATGTGTAGAGCTGAGTTAGAACTGGTCATTTTCAAAGGCTTGTTTCAAAGGTCTTCAAGCTCTTACGAAAGGAGGGTGGGGGGATGTGGCCTCTCTTATTTCCCTTGGAAGGGCGTTCCAGAGGCCGGGGGGGGGGGGGCAGCACTGAGAAGGCCCTCTCTCTTGTTCCCTCCAGACGGTAGTGGGACTGAGAGGAGGGCCTACCCGGAAGATCTTAGAGCTCGTGCCGGTTCATAGACTAGTCTTTGACTAATGTAAACAGCCTTTAGAGTTAATCCAATTTCTGGTCAGCAAATGTTGACAGATGTAAACAGATGTAAACATTTCTCTTGTCACAGTTTTTATCAGTTTACCATTTCAGTTCTCATTAGCAACTTTTAATTACAGTCCAGCAAGCAGGCAGTTAGTCATTGCAGGCCTCAATATTCAGAATGGTGTCCCTTGTCTTCCCTCTTTAGTTCATCCATAGACCTCAGATGCCATTCATCGTTGATTTTAACCAGTAGTTGCCTGTAGCTCAGCCATTTGTTTTTCGGTAACTCTCTTTTGTGGAATGCCTCCACTGGCGATGTCCACATGGGTATTCTGGGGTACATGATATCTTTATATTTATTCCAAGTTTTTAGAAGGGGACCTCTGATAAAGTGGTTGGTAAAGTTTTTTTCTATCCGTGCTTTTCCATAGCTTAAATCGGCGTGCCACCCTCTTCTAATGTCGTGACCCTCTAGTGTTAATATCTTTTTTTGCTCTAGGGTAGCCCATATTTTCACCCATGACAAAGCACAAGCCTCGAAATAAAGCTGCATATCCGACATGGCTAATCCACCCCTGCTTTTGGCATCTGTGAGATTTTTTATCTTTATCCTGGCTTTCTTTCCATCCCATATAAACTTTAATATATCTTTATTCCATTTTTGGAAACATGTATTGGTCTTAATGATTGGGATCATCTGGAACATAAATATCATTCTAGGTAATACACTCATTTTTATGGCTGCAATCTTCCCTAATATTGATAAATTTAAGTACTTCCAATTATTAAGTTTCTTCTGTATGAGGCACCAGGTTTTTTCATAGTTATCCTTAAACAAATGTATGTTTGAGGACGAGATTACAATGCCTAAATATTTAATTTTTTTAACTACTTCTATTCCGGAGTTGGTGACAATTTTGGCCTTTCTTTCTGTCTTAACATTTTTAGTAAGAATCTTTGTTTTATTTCTATTTATCTTGAACCCCGCTAGTTTCCCGAATTCCTCGATTTTAAATATCCATTTCTGGGTATTCTCCACTGGATTTTCCATAATGCAAACCACATCGTCTGCAAATGCTAATATTTTGTATTCTTCTGATCTTATTTTGAGGCCTTTTAATTCTTTGTCCTTTCTTAAATCTTCCAACAAAACTTCTAACACCAATATAAACAAAAGGGGGGAGAGGGGGCACCCTTGCCTTACTCCTCTTTGTATTTCCACTTCCTCTGTGCGTAGGCCGTTAATTAGTACTTTAGCTGTTTGTCTAGAGTACATTGTCTTTACAGCATTCATTATATGATAGCCTATGTCCATTTCCCTCAGCGTTGATAATAGGAAGTCCCAATTTGTATGGTCAAAGGCTTTTTCGGCGTCAAGAAAAAGCAGACCTACTTCCTTTTGATGATTTTTTTCATAGTACTCTATGATGTTAAGAATTATCCGGCTGTTGTCTCTCATCTGCCTCCCCGGTAAAAAACCCCTTTGATCTTCTTTGATTGGTTGCAATACTTACAAATTAAAGAAACCCTAAAGGTAGACTTAAAAGTGGGATTTAGTGAACAGGACACATGCTGGGACATGATTATGAAAAAAGATAAGAAGCTGATCAGGATTTTATATCGAAGCCTGCTAGAATGGAGCAACGAAAAAGAACTAGTGAAAGAAAATATGGTCAAGTGGGCCAGAGACATTGGCCATTCTATACTTCTAAGTGAATGGGAACAAGTATGGAAGGTTAAGCTAAAATACACCAGAGCCATTAGTGTAGTAGAGAACTGGCACAAGGTTTTCTATAGATGGCACTTGACACCTGTCCAGCTAGCGAAATTTAATAAAAATTATAATACACATTGTTGGAAGTGCGAAAAAGAGGCTGGAACATACTTCCACCTGTATTGGAGCTGCAAAAGGATTAAAAAAATTTGGACAATGGTTCATAAACATACACAAAATATCATTAAAATAAAGTTTGACATTAAACCTGAATACTACTTACTGAACATAACAGATTTAAGCTTAAAGAAAAATGAAGAAAAAATTCTGTTTTACCTATCGTCGGCGGCCAAAATATTAATAGCACAAAAATGGAAAAGTAAAGAAATTCCAACGGATGAAGAGTGGATAAAGAAGATAATAGACTTCAGGAATTGTGACAGATTATCGAGTCAACTAGAGGAATATAACAATTCTAAACAAACAAATTGGAATTACCTTGAAGAATATTTGAAAAATAAATTTAAGCTAGATATATAAAGGTCTATGGGTAAAAAGAATAAGAGTAGCAAAAAATAAGAAAAAGGATTAATGAAAAGAAATAATTAATCCTCTGTGGACTGAACGGAAGTGACACACATACCCGTTTGTCTTGCCCCCCCCCCCCAGTTTCCCCCCACCCCTTTAACCTTTCCCCCCCATTCTCTCCTTACCTCTCTATCCTATCCTCACGGTTTGTCTAAATTTCACAACTTTCTATCACAATGATTGTTCTCCCTCTTTCACTGTAAAAGAAAATGGCATAAAAAAAAAAAGAATGGTGTCCCAAAATTCTTAACTCTATCCATTCATCTTTCATTTAGTTCCATTTATACCCACACATATCAAATCTGCACATTATATTTTTTGTGACACGTACCTACTGAAATGTAATGCACGTGCCAATTACTCATATATAAATGAACCAATTAAGCAACATTGAACAGAAAGCAAAATGTCAAAAGATGGGGTTCATTCAGGAAAGATTCTGGGAGTTGGGAAACCCCAAAGGCCATCTGAAGCAGTAGAACCAGAAAACTAAATGAGAGGGTGAGGACAACTTCCTGTGCCCTTTTTAAATTGCTCCTCTCTTGAATAAATCCTCTTCTCCTACCAACCATATTTCAGATGGCAAAGGGACTCAAAGTCACTTCTCCAAGGAATCTCATGGTGAATTAAAGGTTTCAGTACCAGTACATATACAGTCAACATCTCATCTAGTGGTGAGAATCCTTTTCTCTCATAGGCAAGCAAAGGGTTGATGGTTAGGCTTGGGCCCGAATTGGTTTGAATGAAAATGGTTTGTAATATTCGGTGGTTCATTATATGTAATCTCCAAAAATAGAACGGGGAGGAGGGAACTGAAAAGCTGACCAAAATGGATTAAGAGAGACGGATTTTATCAGCTACTAACAGTACCTGCCACACGTTGCTGTGCCCAACCTTTCCTCTTTCTTTCTTTCTCTCTCTCTCTCTCTCTCTCTCCTTCCTTCATTCCTTCCTTCCCTCTCTTTCCTTCCTTCCCTCCCTTTTTTTCTTTCCTTCTCTACTTCCTTCCTTCTCTTCCTCTTCCATTCCTTCCATAGAATCATAGAATCAAAGAGTTGGAAGAGACCTCATGGGCCATCCAGTCCAACCCCTGCCAAGAAGCAGGAATATTGCATTCAAATCACCCCTGACAGATGGCCATCCAGCCTCTGTTTAAAAGCTTCCAAAGAAGGAGCCTCCACCACACTCCGGGGCAGAGAGTTCCACTGCTGAAAGGCTCTCACAGTCAGGAAGTTCTTCCTCATGTTCAGATGGAATCTCCTTTCTTGTAGTTTGAAGCCATTGTTCCCGTCCTAGTCTCCAGGGAAGCAGAAAACAAGCTTGCTCCCTCCTCCCTGTGGCTTCCTCTCACATATTTATACATGGCTATCATATCTCCTCTCAGCCGTCTCTTCTTCAGGCTAAACATGCCCAGCTCCTTAAGCCGCTCCTCATAGGGCTTGTTCTCCAGACCCTTTATCATTTCCCTTTTCTTTCTCTTCCTTTTTCTCCCCTTTCTTCCTTCTCTATGTATTCTTGGACTGCAACTCCCAGCAGTCCTCCTGATCAATCTATCTACCTGCCTGTCTATCTCTATCTATCTGTCTTATCTATCTGGAGGATTGCTGGGAGTTGCAGTCCAGGAATAGAAAATTGGAAATATGCAGGGATTGGGATACTCTTAAAGAAATCCAAGGAGAATAAAGCTTGCATCTTGGAAGCAGTGCATTTGGATCATCCTCCTCTCCTAAAGGGGATGCTGAGAGCTGTAGTCTGGAAGAGAGTGTGGATGTGCTATTGTGTGTTTTGTTTGCCGAGTGAGTCGTTTTTGCGCATGCGCTGCAGCGTCTTTTTGGCTTTTTTGGCTTTTAAAGTCCCTTACAGTATGTTTTTCAGTGTTTTTATGAGTGATGGTCACTTGTTGGCCTGATAGGTGTCTTGTGTCCAAATTTGGTGTCAATTCGTCCGGTAGTTTTTAAGTTATGTTAATCCTACAAACGAACATTACATTTTTATTTATATAGACTGGAAAGGATGGAGTGAAGTCTGCCATATATCTGAGACAAGCGTCTGCTGTGGGGACTCCTGGAGAAGATGGGATTGTTGCAGCGTCCTTCATGGCAGCAGCAGTGTCCCTAAATTTCTTTTTGGAAAGTTTCCTAGGCTCCTCTCCCAGAGAGTCCCTTCCTGGGAACTCTGCCTTAGCAGCACTTTGTACGGGGTGGGCATGGAAAAGTCTCTGAGTTCCTCTCGGAGCATGATGAAACTTGAAGTTTTTTTCTCTCTCTCTGTTTCTCAGCCAATTAAAAACGTGGTTGTGTCCATGCTCTGATTGGCTGAGAATGGACACAACCAGCAGCTACAATTCCCAGAATCCTCTCTTGCAGTTTGTCTTATTTTTTAAAAATGTTATGATAAAAACTTAAATTAATTCTTAAAAAATCAGTAGATTGGTGAATTGTTTTGTAACTTGGCAGGCCTAAAGTTGCAAATGGGGTCTAAAACTGAGGTCAGGTCTTAAAATGACTGAGGATTGAGCTTTTAAAGTTTCTCATTGTAGCCAATGGGTTGATTTTTTGCCGAATGAAAACAGCAACGCCCCTCCTGATTCGAGTAACTTCCCGGTAAACAGAATGAGGGGTTAGCTGAAAATCGACCCCGAAACGGCATGCCTTTTGACCGAATTGCCCACCTCTGTTGAAAGTGGTTTCAGTCTCCCCTTTTCTTATGAAGCCTGAGCATCCCTTATTTTGAATTCTAGCTCAGGGCCTCTCCCATTTCCACCCCTCAACTGTCCTTTGTTGTTCATTTGTTCAGTCGTTTCCGACTCTTCGTGACCTCATGGACCAGCCAACGCCAGAGCTCCCTGTCGGCTGTCACCACCCCCAGCTCCTTCAAGGTCAATCTAGTCACTTCAAGGACACCATCCATCCATCTTGCCCTTGGTCAGCCCCTCTTCCTTTTTCCTTCCATTTTCCCCAGCATCGTTGTCTTCTCTATATGAAGGGGTCGTGGCATTAGGAAGGTTGAGAACCACTGAGATAGATAAAGATAGCCAGGCAGGTAGATAGATTGATCAGGAGGACTGCTGGGAGTTGCAGTCCAAGAATACGTAGAGAAGGGGGTCGCGAGGGGGTGCCAGAGGGGTCACCAAAGACCATCAAAACACAGTATTTTCTGTTGGTCATGGGGATTCTGTGTGGGAAGTTTGGCCCAATTCCATCTTGCCCTTGGTCGGCCCCTTTTCCTTTTTCCTTCCATTTTCCCCAGCATCATTGTCTTCTCTAAGCTTTCCTTTCTTCTCATGATGTGGCCAAAGGACTTCATCTTTGCCTCTACTATTCTTCCCCCCATTCCTGAAGTATGGACTGGTTGGATCTTCTTGCGGTCCAAGGCACTCTCAGAACTTTCCTCCAACACCACAGTTCAAAGCATCTCTCTTCCTTCACTCAGCCTTCTCTATGGTCAAACTCTCACATCCGTAGGTGACTACGGGGAATACCATTGCTTTTACTATGCAGATCTTTGTTGCCAGTGTGCAACTGCCCTTAAGAAACCATAACTTCTAGCTGGCATGTCTTAAATTGAAACAAGGAAGCGATAACATTAAGAAGAACCATGTCAGGTGCCCATAGGGATGACAGGAAGGGCCTAATTTACCTCCAGCTCTCAATTTTTCTATTACACCCGGACATTGTACACTGCTTCATTCATTCACCGCCTTGGCTTTCCTTTTGTAAATGAAACTTTATCTGCCACCCTGGGAAGGATAACTTGACCAGCCACAGAGATTTTGTTTCATTTTAACTGATTTCAGAGATTTCAGATGTGGCTCAGGTTTATGCAATGGCATTTCCCCCTGTCGTGCTACCTGAAGTTAGAGTTGAATCTTTGACAGAAAGTAAACAATACTGCAGATGGCTGAATATTGTGATTTGCCTAATACTTAACCAAGATGGAAGGCCTTGTAAGGGAAACAATGGTTATATTTTTGCAAAAAGAGGCCATTTGATGTATCTTGCTCATTGTGTTTTGGAAAGGCATGACCTTTTAGAGATCAGAACCTTTTGAGAAACCAGAAATATCCATAGTCTTTTGGTGATTTGACCCTTTTGGAGATTAATTAGCATTCACACTATTAGGAATAATCATAACCCTTTTGTAAAGTATGGTCTTCCTGAGAAGACTTAAATTTTCATTTGAGTGAATCTTCTCCTTAGTGGTAAATATCAACTAGTATTCATGCAAGGCAAATTAGGTTTCTCAGTTGTTAGACTGATATATCTGGTTATCTCTCTGAACTGTTAGGAACAAAGATGTGCTGATGCACAAAATATATAGCAGAACTCCAGAATTGTTATTTCAGTTGCCCCAAAAAATCTACTCCCCCATAAAATATATTGCCTTTAATTCATGCTCTCGAGACCAAAAAATAGGAAGTCTTCATTAAAAGTAACATAATTGATTTACTTACAAACTTCATGTATTTAGCATATAGGAACATTTCTTACCGGCTGAGGTTTAAACAGTAAGTTCTCTTATGCATTCTGTTGTCAGTCTCTTCCTTGTTGCATACAGACTAACACTCTCTTCAGTCTAATACAGCATTTCTCAATCTGGGGGTCGGGACCTCTGAGGGGGTCAAGAGGGGGTGTGAGAGGGGTCGCCAAAAGACCATCAGAAAATACAGTATTTTCTGTTGGTCATGGGGGTTCTGTGTGGGAAGATTGGTCCAATTGTATCATTGGTGGGGATGAAAATGCTCTTTGATTGTAGGTGAACTATGAAACCCAGCAACCACAACTCCTAAATGTCAAGGTCCATTTCCCCCCAAACTCCACCAGTGTTTACATTTAGGCATATTGAGCATTTGTGCTAAGTTTGGTCCAGATCCATCATTGTTTAAGTCCACAATGCTCTCTGGGTGTAGGTGAACTACAACTCCAAAATACAAAGTCAATTGCCCACCAAACCCTCCCAGTATTTTCTGTTGGTCATGGGAGTTCTGTGTGCCAAGTTTGGTTCAATTCCATCATTGATGGAGTTCAGAATACTCTTTGATTGTAGGTGAACTATAAATCCCAGCAACTACAACTCCCAAATGACAAAATCAATCCCCCCAAAACCCCACCAGTATTCAAATTGGATATTTGTGTCAAATTTGGTCTAGTGAATGAAAATACATCCTGCATATCAGATATTTACATTACGATTCATAACAGTAGCAAAATTACAGTTTTGAAGTAGCAACAAAAATAATGTTACGGTTGGGGGTCACCACCACATGAGGAACTGTGTTAAGGGGTCACGGCATTAGAAAGGATGAGAAACACTGATCTAATACATTACTGGATATTGACTCAGTACAGACTGATTAAACACTGTAACATACTGACATCGACTTTACTTCTAAACTGCTTCTGATGCAAACTAACTTCTAAAATGGGGTCTCAGTCAAAATAGGCCCAGATCTGGTCACATGGTCTGTAGTCCCTTCCACAACCTCAAACATAGAGTTAAGAGAAAACTGCATATCAATATATACATACAATATAGTAAGCAATCTCAATTATAGATATAACAAATAACTAGTATAGGATAGGAGGCTTGCAGAAGGTTGCTATTTTCAACATTTTCATCCTTCTCTCCCATGTTTCTGCTCATATTTCAACTGCATTGTTCTGTTCCAGGCCTTTCTTTGAGGGAATGTCGCAGTCTAGTTCCCAGACTGAAATTGGAAGCCTTAACAGCAAAGGAAGCCTTGGCAAAGATGCCACCAGCCCAGTAAGTAGTGAAGAGAAGAGACAGAAATTCTTCAAGTGAACATTAATTCATAAGATATGTTTGTGATTCATGCGGAATTAAACATTTCAGCTTGTTCCAGGTGGTGTTACTGTGGACCACCCATGTTCTTGCTCTCCTATTTGGACCCAGGAGATGCCCCCTTTAAACCAAGAAGTAAACCCATATAGGGAAGGGCAAATACATGCTGAGCATTCCCCTACACTTACTAAAAGGCGTGGGGACCATTTCTGATTTTTAAAATTAAACTAAATTTTTAAAAAAATTCAAACCAACTTTATTCAGGTGCAGAAACACTTGGATCTCATTTTTAAAAAGGTTTAGTTGATACGAAGAAATATTTGGGATTTCTTGATTGTAGCTTCCATTGATTTTATTTAATATTTTACTCTGTTATTATTACATTTGCATTATTTTACTTTATTATTTTTATTATTTTTTATTTTACTCTATTATTATTATTATTATTATTATTATTACATTTATTATTTTACTCTATTAATTATTATTACATGTATTATTTTACTCTCATTATTATTGGAAGGATAGGTAAGCACGTTTACATTGAAGAAGGTTAGAATAAGGGTTTAATTAGAGTTTGACAATGTTATCTTAAATTACAGTTTTATGTAAATATGCAAAAACATTTAACCTACTAGGTTCTTGTGGGTTTTTTCGGGCTATAGGGCCATGTTCTAGAGGCATTTCTCCTGACGTTTCGCCTGCATCTATGGCAAGCATCCTCAGAGGTAGTGAGGTCTGTTGGAATAGGACAATGGGTTTATATATCTGTGGAATGGCTGGGGTGGGGCAAAGAGCTCTCCTCTGCTGAAGCTAGGTGTGAATGTTTCAACTGACCACCTTCATTAGCATTTGAAGGCCTGGCTGAGCCTGGGAAAATCTTTTGTTGAGAGGTGTTAAGATGTGCCTGGTTGTTTCCTCTCTGCTGTTTTGCTGTTGTAATTTTAGAGTTTTTTAATACTGGTAGCCAGATTTTGTTGTGACTATGATTATTCCTAATAGTGTGAATCTGGCTACCAGTACAGATATATAAACCCATTGTCCTAATTCCAACAGACCTCACTACCTCTGAGGATGCTTGCCGTAGATGCAGGCGAAACGTCAGGAGAAATGCCTCTAGAACATGGCCCTATAGCCCGAAAAAACCCACAAGAACCTAGTGATTCCAGCCATGAAAGCCTTCGACAATACATTTAACCTACTGATGTTTCAATTAATGTAATTTTATTGGGATCTATTTTATTTTGAAATTTACCAGTAGCTGCTAAATTTCCTACCCTCGGCTTATATGATTTTCCTGGATTTTTGTGGTAAATTAGGTGTTTCAGCTTATATTTTAATATACATATGTTATGGCGACAATTTTTATGCTTATATTTTGTTTTGTTAATCTTAGGGTTATGTTGTTTTTTACTTTGTATGTTTTGTGATGTTACCTGGGAACCGCTCTGAGTTCCCTCGGGGAGATGGAGTGGTATATAAATAAAGTTTTGTTTGTTTGGATTAGCTTATACTGACAATGGAATTGGACAATGCTTGAGAATAATGAGACGTTGATGATGTCGCTTTTATTGTTTTTATGATGTCTTATACTGCTCAATGTTTTTTGTCTATTATGTTTTATGTATACTGATTTGTTGGAAACCGCCTTGAGTTGCCAATTGGCTGAGAAAGCCGGTATACAAATACAGTAAATAAATAAATAAATACTCAAGTATATACAGTATATTGTTATTGTGGCCAGACAATAAACAAAAACTCCTGATTAATGAATTACATAAACAGCTTGCCTCAGTTCATTGTTTTTTCTTTTCTTTTCTTATTTCTCTGTTGTTGCTATGCATCCAGATGGAAGTGTCCATTGGGGACAAAATGAAATCCAACAGGAATAAAAATGCAGATGACAGTATCAATGAAACGGAGACATTGGTAAGCACACTTCTGTCCCAGTGCTGGTGGCAGAAATACTCAACTATATGATTTCCATCTGTTCTTGAATGATCCTCTTCTGGTTTTCTCTAGGATGGCAATGAGCAGGACACATTTGGAGACTCAACAACTACGTTAATCATCCCAGAAAAAGTCAAGACCCCCATGAAGACTAGCATCAAGGGTGAGCTTCAGAACATGGCGTCACCTAGGTAATTATGCCTCAAGTTTGGGTACTTGCTTTTAAAAATCTCTGAAAACTGCTTAGAATGCATGATTCCCTAACAACTATTGGAGATTTGTCCAGAAGAGGTAAAACAGGAGGATCAACTATTTTAGACCGGATCCTAATCAACCATGCTGATGGTTAAAGAGAAGTGCTGCGATTCTTAGATTGGAGTCACTGTGCTCTTCTGGAGTTTGTTATACAGTGGAAAGAGGTAGCCAAGCCTAGTCAGTTGTTCTTGAGATCTGGAGGGATCCCATATAGTTGCCTTGGATAAAAGATGTTTTATGTTTGAGACGAGAAGCTCAGTATTTTCTCCTAGCTATAACTTGACTCTTCCATGGTGTTGTAGTTCAGCCAATTCAGCCCATGTTTCAACATCCATGTTCAACATTTACACAAATAACCAGCCATTGTTAGAAAGAACAGAGAGTTTAATCTATGCTGATGATCGTGCCATCACTGCTCAAGCAGGGAGGTTTGAGGTTATGGCGAACAGAAGCTCTCCGAAGCTCTAGGTGCTCTTACTGCCTATTACAGGGAAAATCAGCTGATCCCTAATCCATCTAAAACACAGACGTGCTTTTAACCTTAGGAACAGACAAGCATCCCGAGCTCTGAGGATGACCTGGGACGGAATCCCACTGGAGCATTGCAGCACACCCAAATATCTGGGACTCACTCTGGACCGTGCTCTGACCTACAAGAAGCACTGCCTGAACATCAAGCAAAAAGTGGGCGCTAGAAACAACATCATATGAAAGCTGACTGGCACAACCTGGGGATCACAACCAGACACAGTGAAGACATCTGCCCTTGCGCTGTGCTACTCTGCTGCTGAGTACGCATGCCCAGTGTGGAACACATCTCACCACGCTCAAAACAGTGGATGTGGCTCTTAATGAGACATGCCGCATTATCACGGGGTGTCTGCGCCCTACACCACAGGAGAAATTACACTGCTTAGCCGGTATTGCACCACCTGACATCCGCCGGGAAGTAGCAGCCAATAGTGAAAGGACCAAGGCAGAGACATCTCCAGCTCATCCTGTTTGGGTATCAGCCAGCACGTCAACGATTCAAATCAAGAAATAGTTTTCTTAGATCTACAGAGACACTCGCCGGAACACCTCAGCAAGCAAGAGTCCAAAAGTGGCAGGCTCAAACCCAGAACCTCAACCAATGGCTGATACCAAATGAGAGACTCCCCCCTGGGCACACAGAAAACTGGGCAACTTGGAAGGCTGAACAGACTGCACTCTGGCACCACAAGATGCAGAGCCAACCTCGAGAAATGGGGCTACAGAGTGGAATCCAGCCACAGACCCATACCTAATATTATTGTTGCCTGCCATAGCATTGCACTTAATCCCCCCCCCCAAAAAAAATTTTTGGGCTTGCAGAAATCTTGGCCCGGCCTTTTAAAATTTTTAAATTGCCTTGAACAGGCAGGATTCTTTTAATATGTGTGTTATGGCGACAATTTTTATGTTTATATTTTGTTTTGTTAATCTTATGTTTTTTTACTTTATATGTTTTGTGATGTTATCTGGGTGAGTCCCCTCGAGAAGATAGAGTGGTATATAAATAAAGTTTTATTATTATTATACTAATTATATTATTATTTTTGCTAAACTTCTTTTTTATATAATCTTCAACTGCTTTGCTGATTTAACTTGGACCTGAGTATGGTGATTATGTGCCGAGGTGTTTCCCATCCTGGAGTGCAACACGTGGTCAACTTGCCGTTGCACTTGTGGGATTAATACTGTCTGTCCTCTACTTGTGACAGCAAAATGGACAGTGCCACACACACGCCCCGACAGAAGCGCAGCACCCCTCTCAAGGAGCGACAGCTTTCAAAACCCCTCAGTGAAAGGACCAACAGTTCAGACAGCGAAAGGTCGCCAGACTTGGGTCACAGCACACAGGTAATCTGCATCTAAAGTCTCTGTCACTGTGGCTTAACCTCTTCTGGCCTCACTTTGGGAGCAAGGGCTTCAGTTTGCATTAAATAGTGCAATCTCTTACCAGCTGTAGCATTGGGCCTTTCTAGTTCTAAATAATTGCATGTGTGGGTTGCTGTGAGTTTTCCGAGCTGTATGGCTGTGTTTCAGAAGCATTCTCTCCTGACGTTTCACCCGCATCTATGGCAGGCATCCTCAGAGGTTGTGAGATCTGTTGTAAACTAGACAAGTGGGATATATATTTTTGGGGTTCAGCCTGTGTGTGAACTTGGACCTGATTCTCTGATTGTATTTCCTGATGCCCATGTAGATGTCAATGTGAATTCTGAGGCCAATTTAGATGATGATGGTTTGAGTAGTGAAAATTCTACAGCCTTGGAAAGCAAAAGTCAAGATTCCCATGGGAACATACATTCCGAGCCAAATGGAGACGGTTCACTCCCTTTTCCTCCCAGTTTTAGCTCTCCAGAGAATCAGGCACCTGGCCTGCCTAATGAGGATAGGCGGGGGCAGATTTGGCAGAGTTGGGAAGAAGCCCAATGTTTACGCAGGTCAGCCAGATTGAAAGAAATCCAAACAAAATCTTCAAGCATGTCTCGCAATAGATTTCTTGGCCTTAAATATGCCTGTTCTGAATACAGCTTCAGACCAGGCATCATTCCAGATTCATGTGCCAGCGTTTGCAGGTCTCCTGATTCAAGTAGCCTTGTTCCTCGGAGGTTTTCTAATTGTCCTAAGTACGGTTAGTGATTTGCTAACAGGTTCCAGGATTCAGCAGTTTTGCTGTGGGCTTCATGATCTTGTTTATGGACATTTCTTGTTGCTGATTTTCACTGTGGCTTTTTATTTTTGCATTTTTTCCTCTATTTTGTATTCCTCTTTCATCAATAAAAAAGGATTGTTTTCCTGAAGCCTAGTGTGGTGGATTGTTGTCTGAGGGTCCAGTTTCCTGCTCTGGGTTGCAACAATATTGTTGAATTTTACAATGTTTTGTATTGACGCTAGACTAATATTGTTAATTTAGCTTATTTTTTTTCTCTTTTCTTTTCTCTCTCTCTTTTTTTTCTAAATGACCAAATTTTCATATTGGCTTTCTACCGGTAAATACGTAACTCCCAGCACATGTTGCATTTGAGTTGCTGCACCTCACAATGTATATTTTGTATGTCCTGTTTTAACCTGCTGGCATCCTACTTCTAATTGTTGGATTTTACAGTGTTCTGTATAGATGTTTATTTGATGCTGCTTCTGTAAATGCATATGACCATTGGTCGAAGGATCTATCTATCTCTATCTATCTATCTATCTATCTATCTATCTATCTATCTATCTGTGGAATGATGTCCAGGGTGCTAGAAAGAACTCTTGTCTGCTTGAGGCAGGTGTGAAGGTTGCAGTTGGCCAGCTTGATTAGCATTGAATGCCCTTGCACCTTCAAAGCCTGGCTGGTTTCTGCCTGGGGGAATTCTTTATTGGGAGGTGTTAGCTGGCCCTATTGTTTCATGTCTGGAATTCCCCTGTTTTCTGAGTGTTGTTCTTTATTTACTGCATGTTGACAATTTCAACAGAAAGGAGGAAACCATGAAAATGAACAAAGTCTGGCCACCAGTATTTAAAAAACTCCAAAATTAGGACAGTAAATAAAGAACAAAACTTTATTTTGTAAATAAAGAACAAAACTATCGGTATAGTGCTATCGGTTTGAGTACAGGGTTATGTATATTTTAAAATCCATACCGTTTCCCCAACAGATTCCTCGGAAGATTGTTTACGATCAGCTGAATCAAATCCTAGTGTCGGATGCAGCGCTTCCAGAAAACATCATCCTTGTGAATGCTATTGACTGGCAGGGTCAGGTAATACGGAAGCTAATGGTTGCTTGTTTCATGTCTCTAGAATAGAATAGAATAGCTTTATAATCATTGTACATTGTTCAACGAAATTAAATGCTTTCCCCAGCACACATCACAACAACAGCACACCCATCCCTCCACACCAAACACCACTGCACAGCCCCCAATGCCACATGACTGTGAAACCATGGAGTTCAGTATAGTTACAGCTCTGGGATAAAAGCTGTCTCTTAGTCTATTTGTCCTTGTCTTTGTCACCTTGCACCATCTGCCAGATGGTAATAATTTTAAAAAAACATTTATTTATCATGTCAGAAGCAAATTAAGAGTACAGTTGTGATATAGAATCATAGACTCATAGAAGCGGGAATATTGCATTCAAATCACCCCTGACAGATAGCCACCCAGCCTCTGTTTAAAAGCTTCCAAAGAAGGAGCCTCCACCATAGTCCGGGGCAGAGAGTTCCACTGCTGAACGGCTCTTACAGTCAGGAAGTTCTTCCTCATGTTCAGATGGAATCTCTTTTCTTGTAGTTTGAAGCCATTGTTCCATTGCGTCCTAGTCTCCAAGGCAGCAGAAAACAAGCTTCCTCCCTCCTCCCTGTGTCTTCCTCTCACGTATTTATACATGGCTATCATATCTCCTCTCAGCCTTCTCTTCTTCAGGCTAAACATGCCCAGCTCTTTAAGCTGCTCCTCATAGGGCTTGTTCTCCAGACCCTTGATCATTTGAGTCGCCCTCCTCTGGACACATTCCAGCTTGTCAATATCTCTCTTGAATTGTGATGCCCAGAATTGGACACAATATTCCAGGTGTGGTTTAACCAAAGCAGAATAGAGCATGGGGAGCATTACTTCCCTAGATCTAGACACTATGCTCCTATTGATGCAGGCCAAAATCCCATTGGCTTTTTTGCCGCCACTTCACATTGTTGGCTCATGTTTAACTTGTTGTCCACGAGGACTCCAAGATCTTTTTCACACGTACTGCTCTCGAGTCAGGCATTGTCCCCCATTACTATTAGTAGTAGTAGTATAATGGGGGCTGCAGCGGCGCAGCGGATTAAATGGCTAAGCTACAGAACTTGATCAGAAGGTTGGTAGTTTGAATCCACAGATGGGGTGAGCTCCCGCTGTTTGTCCCAGTTTCTGCCAACTTAGCAGTTTGGAAAACATGCCAATGTGTGTAGATCGCCATTTTGCAGCAAGGTAACAGTGCTCAATGCAGTCATGCCAGCCACATGACCTTGGAGGTGTCTACGGACAACGCCAGCTCTTCAGCTTAGAAATGGAGATAAGTAGCACCCTCCATAGTCAAACACAACTAGACTTAATGTCAGGGCAAACCTTTACCTTTACCAATAGTAGTATCATCCCCCCTTTCCTCTCTAAAAAAAATACTCAAAGCTCTTCAGTAGAGAGAGAGAGGCTTTACCTAGGTTGACTATCTGAGGTTTGAGTTACAGAGAGCGGTCAACCCTCCTGTTTAAACAGCTCCACTGGCTGCCGATAAGTTTCTGGTCCCAATACAAGGTGCAGGTTATCACCTCTAAAGCTCTAAACGGTTCAGGGCCTTCCTATCTGCGCGACTGCCTCCTCCCTTATGAGCCCACACGGTCCTTAAGATCTTCCGGGGATGCTCTTCCCTCGCTCCCGCTCCCTTCTCAGGCTAGTGGGGACGAGAGAGAGGGCATTCGCGGTGGTGGCCCCCCGTCTCTGGAACTCCCTCCCCAGGGAGATTAGGCTGGCACCCTCCCTAGCCACATTCCGTAAGGAATTAAAGACGTGAATGTTTCGTCGTGCTTTTGATTGATGACTCCTATGACAAATGACCTGTATTATGACTTGAATTGTCACTCAATCTGATGTCCTATATTAACTGATCCTGTTAATTTGCTCTGTCTCCATGATATTTCCTATGCCGTTATACATTGTTATCCACGTTACTAAACCACTTATCCTTTAACTAGTTCATGTAGTGGTTTTCATCCCCCGCTTCCAAAATTAGTCTGCTGTTATTGTTGTTGCTAGCTATTATTGTTATGTTGTTTTACGCTGTTTTATGTTGTTTTAATTGTTTTGCTTTATTTTAACTGTATTCTGCCTGGGCTTGGGCCCCATGTAAACTGCCCCGAGTCCCTTCAGGGAGATGGAGGCGGGGTAGAAAAATAAAGTTCTTCTTCTCCTTCTCCTTCTCCTTCTTTGGAAATTCTTTGTCCCATTGTGGGTTGTTGTAGGGTTTTTGGGCTGTATGGCCTAGGCCTGGCCAATCCATTGTTCTAAATCAGCGTTTCTCAATCTTGGGGTCGGGACCCCTGGAGGGGTCGCGAGGGGGTGTCAGAGGGGTCACCAAAGACACAGTATTTTCTGTTAGTCATGGGGGTTCTGTGTGGGAAGTTTGGGCCCATTCTATCGTTGGTGGGGTTCAGAATATTTCTTGATTGTAGGTGAACTATAAATCCCACCAATTACAACTCCCAAATGTCAAGGTCTATTTCCCCCCAAACTGCACCAGTGTTCGTATTTGGGCATATTGAGTATCCATGCCAAACTTGGTCCAGATCCATCATTGTTTGAGTCCAGATGCCCTCTGGATGTAGGTGAACTACAACTCCAAAACTCAAGGTCAATGCCCACCAAACCCTTCCAGTATTTTGTGTTGGTCATGGGAGTTCTGTATGCCAAGTTTGGTTAAATTTGATCGTTGATGGAGTTCAGAATGCTCTTTGATTGTAGGTGAACTATAAATCCCAGCAACTACAACTCCCAATTGACAAAATCATTCCCCTGCCCAACCGCCCTGGTATTCAAATTTGGATGTATCTGTGCCAAATGTGGTCCAGTGAATGGAAATACAACCTGCTTATCAGATATTTACATTACAATTCATAACAGTAGCAAAATTGCAGCTATGAAGCAACAACAAAAATAATGTTATGGTTGGGGGTCACCACAACTTGAGGATCTATATTAAGGGGTCTTGGCATTAGGAAGGTTGAGAAGCACTGTTCTAAATGGTTCTAAATGGTTCTAAAGTATAAAACTAAAGTTCTGGTGATGAAAATTTCAGAACTCTAACCAAACTCTCAAAATTTCATTATAAATGGCAGTTCCTAATTGGTTCTATCATAAAAATCACCAATAATGAATGAATAATTAAATTTTGAAAGTTTTGTTAGAGTTCTGAAATTTTCACCACCAGAACTTTAGTTTTGTAAGTACATTAGAACCATGGATTGCCCAAGCTAGTATGGCCACGTTCTAGAAGCATTCTCTCCTGACATTTAGCCTGCATCTACGGCAGGCATCCTCACAACCTCTGAGGATGCCTGCCATAGATGCAGGTAAAACGTCAGGAGAGAATGCTTCTAGAACGTGAACATACAACGCAAAAAACTACAACAACCCAGTGATTCCAACCATGAAAGCCTTTGACAATACTAATGCATGTGGCTCGAGTCCTCAAAACATGATATAAGAGACTGTCAGAGTGGATTTCATGTCTGTTGTTGCAATGCACTTTGGGTTTTTTTTTCCCCCTCTTGCCTTTTGGGCCAAGCCCAAGTCATGTCTTAGATTTCCATCATCTCAATTGTTCTGTGGTGTGTTGAGCTTGTATCCAAGGTGCTCACGGGTGCTCAGTTACCAACCTTTTATCCAGTGATATGGCCAGTGATTCATTGATTCAAAGAGGATAAGGCTGATTCCTAATCACCTTCTTTTCCTCAACAGTATGTTGCCGATCTCCTTCAAGACCAGAAGAAGCCCGTGGTTTGTACATCTTCCATCATTGAAGTGCAAGCCGTTCTCTCGGCGATCCTCATAAGGATCCAACGATAGTGAGTTCCCCATGATGTGTCAGTGACACCTCTGTGTTTTCTTTATTAGCTTTTATAAGTGAACAGATCTGGGAAATTGGCCCTAAAATACAGTGTAATTGAGAAAGGAGAACAATGTGCAGGACAAATGGCAGGGTAGGTGCACACTTGTTCTACCACATACATACATACATACATACATACATACATACATACATACATATATGGGCATTTTTATTTATTATTTATTTATTTAGAACTTTTATATACCGGTCTTCTCGACCTCCGCAGAGGGACTCAGTCCGGTTCACAACAAAAGATTCATAAACAATAGTTTAAAACATCACATCTCATAATACACTAACACATTAAAATACAATCATATAATTACATAAGGCAGAATGAAGTCACAATTCATCGCCATTCGTCCGTGTGGTCAGGAGATATTGACTCACTCATCAAATGCCAAATTCCAGAACCAAGTTTTCACCAGTTTTCTAAACGTCAGGAGATACGGGGCAGTTCTAATCTCCAGTGGGAGAGAGTTCCAGAGCCGAGGGGCAACCACCGAGAAGGCCCTGTCCCTCATCCCCACCAGACGCGATTGCGAGGATGGTGGGACCGAGAGCAGGGCCCCTCCAGAAGATCTTAACAACCTTGATGGTTCATAGGGGAGAATCCGTTTGGACAGGTAAACTGGGCCGGAGTCGTTTAGGGATTTATAGGTCAACACCAGCACTTTGAATTGTATTGTCGAAGGCTTTCATGGCCGGAATCACTCAGTTCTTGTGGGTTTTTTCGGGCTATATGGCCATGTTCTAGAGGCATTTCTCCTGACGTTTCGCCTGCATCTATGGCAAGCTTCCTCAGAGGTGAGGTCTGCTGGAGCTGCTGGGAAGGGAGCTCCACATGGAGGGTGCGGGAAGCCGGGCCCGGCGGGGCCAAGACGGCGGCGTTGCTTTAGCTCATGCCGGAGAGGAAGGCTTGATAGCGGCCCGAGAGCAGGAGCGGCCTTGGCGCCTGCGCACTGAGCGCCTTCCCTCAGGGAGCCATGTTGTTACTCTCCACAGAACCGAACTTTGAATTGTGCTCGGAAGCTAATTGGCAGCCAGTGGAGCTGGCGCAACAGAGGAGGAGTATGCTCCCTGTACCCCGCTCCTGTTAGTAATCTGGCCTCCACTCGTTGGACTAGTTGAAGCTTCTTGGCAGTCTTCAGAGGCAACCCCACGTAGAGTGCGTTGCAGTAGTCTAAACAGGATGTAACCAGAGTGTGGACCACTGTGGCCAAGTCAGACTTCCCAAGGTACGGGCGCAGCTGGCGCACAAGTTTTAATTGTGCAAAAGCTCCCCTGACCACCGCCGAGACCTGGGGTTCCAGGCTCAGCGATGAGTCCAGGATCACTCCCAAGCTGTGCCTTCAGGGGGAGTGTGACCCCGTCGAGCACAGGCTGTAACCCAATGCCCTGTTCAGCCTTTCTGACCAGGAGTACCTCTGTCTTGTCTGGATTTAGTTTCAATCTGTTGTCCCTCATCCAGTCTGTTACAGCGGCCAAGCGGTTCAGGACTTGAACAGCCTCCTTAGTAGCAGATAGGAAGGAGTGACAGAATTGGACATCATCTGTGTACAGATGACACTGCACCCCGAATCTCCAGATGATCTCTCCCAACGGCTTCATGTAAACAACATAGGGGACAGTACCGAACCCTGCGGGACTCCACAGTACAATGGCCGTGGGGTCGAGCAGGAGTCCCCTAGCAACACCTTCTGGGAGCGACCCTTGTGGAAGGACTGGAGCCACTGCAAAGCAGTACCCCCGAGGCCCATTCCCGCGAGGCGTCCCAGAAGGATACCGTGGTCGACGTTATCGAAGGCCGCTGAGAGGTCCAGCAGAACCAACAGGGACACACTCTCCTTGTCCAGTTCCCAGCGAAGATCATCGACTAAGGCGACCAAGGCTGTCTCAGTACCATGTCCCGGCCTAAAGCCAGACTGCGCCGGATCCAGATAATCTGTGTCTACCAGGAAATCCTGGAGTTGCGAGGCCACCACACGTTCCAGGACTTTGTCCAAATAGGGGAGATTGGAAACTGGCCGATAGTTGACAAATTGAGTGGGGTCCAGTGATGATTTTATAACAGCTTGTTTTAAGCTGGCTGGAATGTTGCCTTCCCGAAGGGAAGCATTAACCACCACCTTCACCCACTCTGCCAAACCCCCTCTGGCTTCCTTTACCAGCCAGGATGGGCAGGCGTCTAGGATGCATGTGGTAGCCCTCACCTCCCCAAGAATCCTGTCGACATCTGCATCTTTTTTGCGCATTTTGGGATTATCTGAAATTATGACTGGGAATATGTGCACCCATATTCATTTGGAAATGAGGCAATTCTGATAACATCTCAGTATGATATTAGCTAATGCAATTGTCAGTAAATTTTGGGAAAAAGTAGTGAAAAAACAAACAATATGATTAATAAAAAGATCAAGAAAAACCCGGAAATGTGCCTATTAGGACTATTTAGAATGTGTACTGCTAATGACCTTCTGCTAAAGGCAGGGAGAGATGCCGGTGCTGATGAAACTGGACCCTCTTGCTTCATCAGCCTGTGTTGTTTGTTTTTTATGAGCTCAGCTGACGGCAAAAGCAGATGCTCAGGCTCCCAAAGGGCTTTAACGCTTTGCTCGGCGTCTTTAAAACAGAAGTATCATGTTGCCTGCATTTGCTGGTTTGTCTGGAAACAGCAAGGTTTCAGATGATGTGGGACTTCGGTCTGTGATTCTCCAGTTCTTGGGAGCCCCCTCGTGGCTTCTGTGCTTTACAGATGATGCTCTGAAGCCCTGGAAATTTAGAAGATGCAATTCCTTTTCCTGACATTTGTGCAACTCCTTCGGATATGCAGAGTATTTTAAACTGAGAGGGACTAGGGTATGTTAAGATGCTAAGGAAGCTGTCCAAGTCCTGAACCGGTGCCTGGTCACTGTGACGGTCTGGATGAGAGCAAGTAAATTGAAGTTGAATCCAGACAAGACAGAGGTCCTCCTGGTCAGTCGCAAGGCACCAACTGCCGCTCTGGGCCAGAGTGAAAAGAGAGGGGGCCAGGGGACAGTTCCATCTTGTCTCCTGCATATGTCATCAGTTGAGGACCCTCCCCCCAGCACCAACTGCCGCTCTGGGCCAGAGTGAAGAGAGAGGGGGCCAGGAGACAGCTCCATCTTGTCTCTTGCATATGTCATCAGTTGGGGACCCTACCCCCAGCACCAACTGCCGCTCTGGGCCAGAGTGAAGAGAGAGGGGGCCAGGGGACAGTTCCATCTTGTCTCCTGCATATGTCATCAGTTGGGGACCCTACCCCCAGCACCAACTGCCACTCTGGGCCAGAGTGAAAAGAGAGGGGGCCAGGGGACAGTTCCATCTTGTCTCTTGCATATGTCATCAGTTGGGGACCCTACCCCCAGCACCAACTGCCACTCTGGGCCAGAGTGAAGAGGGGGCCAGGGGACAGTTCCATCTTGTCTCCTGCATATGTCATCAGTTGGGGACCCCTCCCCCAGCACCAACTGCACTCTGGGCCAGAGTGAAAAGAGAGGGGGCCAGGGGACAGTTCCATCTTGTCTCCTGCATATGTCATCAGTTGAGGACCCTCCCCCCAGCACCAACTGCCGCTCTGGGCCAGAGTGAAGAGAGAGGGGGCCAGGAGACAGCTCCATCTTGTCTCTTGCATATGTCATCAGTTGGGGACCCTACCCCCAGCACCAACTGCCGCTCTGGGCCAGAGTGAAGAGAGAGGGGGCTAGGGGACAGTTCCATCTTGTCTCCTGCATATGTCATCAGTTGAGGACCCCCCCCAGCACCAACTGCCGCTCTGGGCCAGAGTGAAGAGAGAGGGGGCCAGGAGACAGCTCCATCTTGTCTCTTGCATATGTCATCAGTTGGGGACCCTACCCCCAGCACCAACTGCCACTCTGGGCCAGAGTGAAAAAAGAGGGGGCCAGGGGACAGTTCCATCTTGTCTCTTGCATATGTCATCAGTTGGGGACCCTACCCCCAGCACCAACTGCCACTCTGGGCCAGAGTGAAAAGAGAGGGGGCCAGGGGACAGTTCCATCTTGTCTCCTGCATATGTCATCAGTTGAGGACCCTCCCCCCAGCACCAACTGCCGCTCTGGGCCAGAGTGAAGAGAGAGGGGGCCAGGAGACAGCTCCATCTTGTCTCTTGCATATGTCATCAGTTGGGGACCCTACCCCCAGCACCAACTGCCGCTCTGGGCCAGAGTGAAGAGAGAGGGGGCCAGGGACAGTTCCATCTTGTCTCCTGCATATGTCATCAGTTGGGGACCCCTCCCCCAGCACCAACTGCCGCTCTGGGCCAGAGTGAAGAGAGAGGGGCCAGGGGACAGTTCCATCTTGTCTCTTGCATATGTCATCAGTTGGGGACCCCTCCCCCAGCACCAACTGCCACTCTGGGCCAGAGTGAAGAGAGAGGGGGCCAGGGACAGTTCCATCTTGTCTCCTGCATATGTCATCAGTTGGGGACCCTACCCCCAGCACCAACTGCCACTCTGGGCCAGAGTGAAAAGAGAGGGGGCCAGGGGACAGTTCCATCTTGTCTCCTGCATATGTCATCAGTTGAGGACCCTCCCCCCAGCACCAACTGCCGCTCTGGGCCAGAGTGAAGAGAGAGGGGGCCAGGAGACAGCTCCATCTTGTCTCTTGCATATGTCATCAGTTGGGGACCCTACCCCCAGCACCAACTGCCGCTCTGGGCCAGAGTGAAGAGAGAGGGGGCCAGGAGACAGCGCCATCTTGTCTCCTGCATATGCCATCAGTTGGGGACCCTACCCCCAGCACCAACTGCCACTCTGGGCCAGAGTGAAAAGAGAGGGGGCCAGGGGACAGTTCCATCTTGTCTCCTGCATATGTCATCAGTTGGGGACCCCTCCCCCCAGCACCAACTGCCGCTCTGGGCCAGAGTGAAGAGAGAGGGGGCCAGGAGACAGTTCCATCTTGTCTCTTGCATATGTCATCAGTTGGGGACCCTACCCCCAGCACCAACTGCCGCTCTGGGCCAGAGTGAAGAGAGAGGAGGCTAGGGGACAGTTCCATCTTGTCTCCTGCATATGTCATCAGTTGAGGACCCCTACCCCAGCACCAACTGCCACTCTGGGCCAGAGTGAAGAGAGAGGGGGCCAGGAGACAGCTCCATCTTGTCTCTTGCATATGTCATCAGTTGGGGACCCTACCCCCAGCACCAACTGCCACTCTGGGCCAGAGTGAAAAAAGAGGGGGCCAGGGGACAGTTCCATCTTGTCTCTTGCATATGTCATCAGTTGGGGACCCTACCCCCAGCACCAACTGCCACTCTGGGCCAGAGTGAAAAGAGAGGGGGCCAGGGGACAGTTCCATCTTGTCTCCTGCATATGTCATCAGTTGGGGACCCTACCCCCAGCACCAACTGCCACTCTGGGCCAGAGTGAAGAGAGAGAGGGCCAGGAGACAGCGCCATCTTGTCTCCTGCATATGCCATCAGTTGGGGACCCTACCCCCAGCACCAACTGCCACTCTGGGCCAGAGTGAAAAGAGAGGGGGCCAGGGGACAGTTCCATCTTGTCTCCTGCATATGTCATCAGTTGGGGACCCCTCCCCCAGCACCAACTGCCGCTCTGGCCAGAGTGAAGAGAGAGGGGGCCAGGGGACAGTTCCATCTTGTCTCTTGCATATGTCATCAGTTGGGGACCCTACCCCCAGCACCAACTGCCGCTCTGGGCCAGAGTGAAGAGAGAGGAGGCTAGGGGACAGTTCCATCTTGTCTCCTGCATATGTCATCAGTTGGGGACCTTCCCCCCAGCAGTAACTGCTGCTCTGGGCTAGTGTGAAGAGAAGCCCTCCTGACAAAGAGCCATCCAGCCATAGATATAGATATGATTCACACACACACAGATATAGTATCATAGATTTGAAAGGGACCCCTACGGAAGGACAATGATATGTTGCATGTTCCAGAGTAGGCAAATCAGACACTCTCCACATCAACACTGACAAAGAAACATCAAGAAATACGGTTTACCCATAAGCATAAAGAAATTACATATATTAGAAACCAACACTTTCTCATTACTTTATTTTCCAGATCAACAGACTGGGCCACAGCAATGCATGGCAGGGGACAGCTAGTAATACATATAAAGATATCATAGACTCTTACTTTACATCCGCTTCTTCTTTGTCTACAATCTTATAGGATCCTCTATATACATTTTTAGTTTAATTTTACATTAAGATGTTGAATCATTGGTTGCTATTCATTAACAAAGTTATCTAATAGTTCTCCTCTTAATAATACAGTTATTTTGCCCATTATCAGGATATCTATAATATATTTTTCCCATTCTTCTAAAGGAGGTATATCTGGGGTTTTCCAATATCTAGCATATACTATTCGAGCTGCCACTGTTGTGTAAAACAATTTTTTTCCAAATTTTCTTTCTAATTCTTCCTTGGGCATACTCAAAAGGTACATTTGAGGTGTACTAGGATGGTTTTAAATGGTGTGTTTTAATATTTTGTTAAATGTTTTTTAATGTTTATGTATTGTATGTGAATTTGTGTTGAATGTTTGCTGTATATATGAGTCCCCTTCAGGGTGAGAAGGGTGGAATACAAATGTTTTAAATAAAATAAATAAATAAATATGTTGGACTTCAGATCTTGGAGGAGAGCGGCATTTCCATTTTTCCAAAGGAGAGAGCTCAGATCCTTGGCATGCTATGGGTTGTGCATAGATAGCATGGGCGTTTTGTGTGTGACCTTCTTTGCTTTCAAGATCAGGGACAGATGTTTGCATCAGTAGAGTCACATTGTGTTCAATGCTGTATGTTTCTTTCCCTTTGCCAGCTGCAACTGCAATTCCTCCATGCCTCGTCCCGTGAAGGTGGTGTCTGTGGGCGGTCAGAGTTATCTCAGTTCCATTTTGAGATTTTTTGTCAAGCAACTGGCAAACAAGACGTCGGACTGGCTGAACTACATGAGGTTCCTTATCGTTCCACTAGGTAAAGGCTTCCCTATTTGATAGGTGACAGATTCAACTATCCACGGCTTGAAATGATAACCAAAACAAAACCTAAAAGGCAACCCTTGGTTTTGCCTTTTTATATTTATGGACACCATTTTACTACTACATTTGTTGATGAACGGGCCCACTCTTGAACATGAAATGTAATTGACTAGAAGGAGTTGTTTATGTGCTTACATGGAAGAATGAGATTGCCAAATCAGTAGGGTTAACTTTGCCTCCATCATTTTAATTATCCAAATTATCCAGAAGGACCATGACTAAGATTTTTATAGTCCTGTAGCTTGGGAAGAGATAGCTTCCTGGTGCCAATATGTCAGTTTTGGTGCTAGATTGATAGGTCTTATCAAGGAAAATGATAGGAACCGATCTTGTCTCCTTCTGCAGGTTCTCACCCAGTAGCCAAGTACATTGGTATTGTGGATAGCAGATACAGTGGAATGTTTCTGGATACCGCCTGGAGAGAACTTTTCAGCAAGTCTGAGCCACCTGCAACTGGTAAGAATGGGTTGTCAATAGATAACCTTGGCTTGAAACCAGGCCTGTAGCCGGAGGGGGGTGTTAGGGGTTCAAACCCCCCCCCCCAATTTTTCAGGTTAAAAAAAAACCTGGTTTACTCATGAATTTTAACTAGTTAACCAAATCCCCATGCTAAGTCTATGAGATGCAAAAAATTAAGAGTTCCTCCAGAACTGTAAGCACTATCTCAAGCAAATATTGAGAATTTATTCACACTGTCATTACTTGCAGCAATAGCCGATGTAGCGAAGCAACCAAGTTAGAGGGGGAGTGTTGAATGCTCTCATTAAGGAGGCCAGACTTCGTTTTTATTTGTCGTGTCAGGGCAACCAGTCAATTATATTACATTTCTAACAGAACAAAGCAAACAAACAGACAAAATACAAAATTTGTGAGTTTGGTAGTTGATTAAATGTCCTTTGACCAGTATCTGGCCACTTGGAGTGCTTCTGGTGTTACTGCAAGAAGGTCCTCCATTGTGCATGTGGCAGGGCTCAGGTTGCATTGCAGCAGGTGGTCAGTGGTTTGCTCTTCTCCACACTCGCATGTCATGGATTCCACTTTGTGACCCCATTTCTTGAGGTTGGCTCTGCATCTCGTGGTGCCAGAGCGCAGTCTGTTCAGCGCCTTTCAAGTTGCCCAGTTTTCTGTGTGCCCAGGAGGGAGTCTCTCATTTGGTATCAGCCATTGGTTGAGGTTCTGGGTTTGAGCCTGCCACTTTTGGACTTCGCTTGCTGAGGTGTTCCAGCGAGTGTCTCTGTAGATCTTAGAAAACTATTTCTAGATTTAAGTCATTGACGTGCTGGCTGATACCCAAACAGGGGATGAGCTGGAGATGTCTCTGCCTTGGTCCTTTCACTATTGGCTGCTACTTCCCGGCGGATGTCAGGTGGTGCAATACCGGCTAAGCAGTGTAATTTCTCCAGTGGTGTAGGGTGCCGACACCCCGTGATAATGCGGCATGTCTCATTAAGAGCCACATCCACTGTTTTAGTGTGGTGAGATGTGTTCCACACTGGGCATGCATACTCAGCAGCAGAGTAGCATAGCGCAAGGGCAGATGTCTTCACTGTGTCTGGCTGTGATCCCCAGGTTGTGCCAGTCAGCTTTCGTATGATATTGTTTCTAGCGCCCACTTTTTGTTTGATGTTCAGGTAGTGCTTCTTGTAGGTCAGAGCACGGTCCAGAGTGACTCCCAGGTATTTGGGTGCGCTGCAATGCTCCAGTGGGATTCCTTCCCAGGTGATCCTCAGAGCTCGGGATGCTTGTCTGTTCTTGAGATGAAAGGCACATGTCTGTGTTTTAGATGGTTTGGGGATCAGCTGGTTTTCCCTGTAATAGGCAGTAAGAGCACCTGCCAGATTTGGTGGAGGTGGTTGACAGGGGCGGAGCTGCAGGCTATTGAAGGCTGCTTTGCCCCCTGCTGTGCTCTTTGCTTCAACGTGACCCCCCCCCCCCCCCCCAATTTTCAACCCTCTCCAAAAAAAATTTCTGACTACGGCCCTGCTTGAAACTCCAAAGCAATCACATACACTAGAACTAGCAGTGCAAGTAGGCCACGGACACTGTTCCTTGGAACTTGAAATTGGAACTTCTAATTTGAAGCAGCAACAAAATGCACATGGTCAAACTAGGTTATAGTTTAGGGATATGATATGAGATAGTATAATATTATACTATAATGTAATGCAATATAATAATATTAATAATAATATGATATTATAATTATATATATATTACATGTAATATTACTAATAATATTATGATGTAGTATTGGTGCAATATAGCAATATTGTACTATGCTAATAGTATAATATATTGTATGTAATATATACCTTGTAAGCCGCTCTGAGTCCCCTTCAGGGTGAGAAGGGCGGCATATAAATGTCGTAAATAAATAAATAAATAAACAGTGATAGCAGAGAGACAGTAATATGTTGGCAGTAATGCTTCCCACATCCATGACCACCCATATTTCATTGTTGATAGTGCTTTCTTCTCTGATTGTCTTCTTCACCAATATCTTGGTTTGATACTTGTTTTGTCTTGGTCTAGATCCCAATACCTAATGGAGATCTCAGAATTTGTAACATTCTCCATCCATCTGACCTTAGTAAAACCAATGGTTCAGTGTTTTTCTGCAACATAAGGTTGTTGGCCGCCTTGAGTCCTCATGGGGAAAAAGGTGGCATAGAAATAACATTAATAACAACAATGACATTGCCTGTGGGATATATTATTATTGGGTTGCTGTGAGTTTTCCGGGCTGTATGGCCATGTTCCAGAAGCATTCTCTATAGCAGGCATCCTTAGAGGTTGTGAAGTCTGTTGGAAACAATCAGGGTCAGCTAACACCTCCCAACAAAGGATTCCTCTGGGCAGGAAGCAGCCAGGCTTTGAAGCTGCAAGGCCATTCAGATCTAATCAAGGTGGCCAATTGCAGCATTCACACTTGCCTGAAGACAAGAGTTTTTTCTCCCACCCTGGACATTCCATAATAATAATAATAATAATAATAATAATAATAATAATAATAATAATAATAATAATAATCATCTTTATTTATACCCCGCCACCATCTCCCCCAACGGGGACTCTGAGCGGCTTACATAGGGCCAAGCCCGAACAACAAATTACAATAAAATAAAATACACATTGCAATAAAATAAACAACATAACATTAAAGTATAAAACATATAAGCATATAAACAATATACACAATAAATTTTTAAAAAGCAGTAATAGATATGTAGACCTCATTTGCCCAGTTTCCAACAGACCTCACAACCTCTGAGGATGCCTGCCATAGATGTGGGCGAAACATCAGGGGAGAATGCTTCTGGAACATGGCTATACAGCCCCAAAAACTCACAGCAACCTAGTGATTCCAGCCATGAAAGCCTTTGACAATATTATTATTATTATTATTATTATTATTATTATTATTATTATTATTCCTCAGATTCCTTGGATGTGGTTGGCCGGATCATGCAGTACATAAACGGAGCAAATGTGACACATCAGTTGCCTGTGGCTGAGGCCATGCTGACATGCAAACACAAATTGTAAGCTCCTATTTCATTTCTCTGTCATAGGCTACATGTCTGTGAGCTTTGCATAGTATAATATACGAGCTGAAAGGAGAAGCGAATAATAAATAAAATTATTATTAATAATATTATTATTATTAGAAACTCAACAAGATTAGTACACAGCAAACAAGATCACTATGCTGGCTGTTCTCTTGGATCACACATTGGATCCAATATTCCCTGGTTATTTAATATTTAATGTTTATTTTACTTAAGTGATATTTGTCTTTACTGTTCTAAAGTAGCACAAATCCTATGTAAAATCATACTGTGTATTTTTGACATTAATATTGAAATCTGAAATATATACAGAAAGTCTTCCCAAGTGTCTAGGACTATTTGAGGTATCAGCGAATAATGCATGCAGATACGAGTAGTAGGGTGGCCTTTTGCAGCTGACAGATGGTATTTTTGTTAGTGCTGATTGTGTTTAAGTGCAGTCCAAGGTCTTTAGGCACTGCACCCAGTGTGCCAATCACCACTGGGACCACCTTGACTGGTATTATTATTATTATTATTATTATTATTATTATTATTATTATAGTATAGTATAGTATATTGATAGCATCTACGTTGATTAAAATTTAATGTGGGCATCCCCTTTAACATATCTTTACAATCATCATGACATGTTTTTTGAAAAGACACTGTAATTTTTTACTATTCCACAGAAACCCATCAGAGTTTTCAAACTTGAAGTTCCTGGGTTTTGTCAGTGGTTTAAAGCCAGTTTTGTCAGCAGAACTGAAGTCATTTCCTGCCTTGGATTGTTTCAAAGGAGTGATATGTTCCTCTCTGAACTCTCCACAATGGCATTCCCTAACAGCTTTCCTGCTGCAGCATGTGAAAGAGGTGGTTAGGCTGAACACATAAACCTCAGTATATTGGTTTTTAGCTATAGCTTCATTCGTTTTTTGAAGCAAGTGGAAAAGAAAAGAGAAGCCCTGCTCTTCTACATATATTCTTTCCTGTCTGTTGGAGTTTAATTTCTGTTTTCTTTGCCTTCAGCCAAGATGAAGATTCTTACCAGAAGTTCATCCCTTTCATTGGGGTAAGGAAGTCTCAGTTGCTTGGATATTTCACCCCATAATTGCACACACATTCTGTTGTATTGATTCGTATGATAACTTAAAGAAAACCAATTTCTTAAAACAAGAGTTCATGCATTTCTCTTCGATCCGTTTAACTTTTGCAATTAATATAATTCACAAGATCGCCATCCAATTCTACAGTCCTCCCTTATCTGTTGATGCTGAATAGAAGTTGTGGCATGAAGCATCAGAAGTGTCATTTAAATGCATGAGGGATGTTCATGAAAAATTTCCTTTGACCCGCTTCTATTTATCACTGGGTGCTGAAACTACATGTGTAATGATATAAGTCTCTATAGGTTACAGCTCAGAACTGAGAATGCTCTTGATTGCTGGACGGGGTCACACTCCCCCTGAAGGCGCAGGTTCGCAGTCTGGGAGTTCTCCTGGACTCATCGCTGAGCCTGGAGCCCCAGGTTTCGGCGGTGGTCAGGGGAGCTTTTGCACAACTAAAACTTGTGCGCCAGCTGCGCCCGTACCTTGGGAAGTCTGACTTGGCCACGGTAGTCCACGCTTTGGTTACATCCCGCTTAGATTACTGCAACGCTCTCTACGTGGGGTTGCCTCTGAAGACTGCCCGGAAGCTGCAGCAAGTCCAACGCGCGGCAGCCAGATTACTAACGGGTGCTGGGTACAGGGAGCACACCACTCCGCTGTTACACCAGCTCCACTGGCTGCCAATTAGCTTCCGAGCACAATTCAAAGTGCTGGTGTTAACCTATAAAGCCCTAAACGACTCTGGCCCTGTTTACCTCTCCAAACGTATTCTCCCCTATGAACCATCAAGATTATTAAGATCGTCTGGAGAGGCCCTGCTCTCGGTCCCACCGGCCGCACAGGCGTGGCTGGTGGGGATGAGGGACAGGGCCTTCTCGGTGGTGGCCCCGCGACTCTGGAACTCTCTCCCACCGGAGGTCAGAACTGCCCCGTCTATCCTGACATTTAGGAAACGGGTGAAGACGTGGTTGTGGAGACAGGCTTTCGATGAATGAGACAACACCCTAGGATTTTGGATGGAAGATGATGTATATTTGATTTTAATATGACGACTGACCACCGTAGTTTTAAATATATTGTTATTTTAAATGTGTTACTGTAATTGTGAACTATGATATTTTACTGATTGTATGTGTTTTTATGGTTGGAAACCGGGCTGAGTCCCTCAATGAGGTGAGAAGGTCGGTATAGAAAACTTTGAAATAAATAAATAATAAATACAGGTGCTGAAGTGGTGTGAGGTTTGAGAATGGAGCCAGTGGTCCCAACAATTTCTTGGTTTCAATACCATCAGATTAGAGAGAATTTTAATATAGATAATAAACTAGGCTTTGAAACAAAAGAAAGATTCTGGGACAAGGTAATAAAGGTTGACACAAAGTTAAAAAATTCAACCTAGCTGTGCCCTGCCACGCGTTGCTGTGACCTATAGTAAGAATTTTTGAAGTAGAGGTAGATATGTGGACTATTATGAAAAAGAGGTACCTACCTATTCCTTCCCCCTTTTTCTTCCCCTTCCCCTTTCTCTCCTTTCTTCCTTCTCTATCTCTTTCTTTCATTCCTTCTTTCACTCTTTGGTTTCATCCTTCCTTCTCTCTTTCCTTCCTCCCCCCCCCCCCCCTTTTCTTCTCTTCCTTTCCTTCCTTCTTCCTTCTTCCTTCTTTCCTTTCTCTTCCTTTCTCCTTCCTTCTTTCTTTTCTTTCTTTGTTTCCTCCTTTTCTTTCATTTCTACTTTCTCTTCTTCCTTCCTTCTACCTTTTCTTTCTTCTTCCTTCCTCCTCTTTCCTTCCTTTACTTCCTTCCTTTCCTTTCCCTTTCCTTCCTTCCTTCCTTCCTCCTTCTTTCTTCCTTCTTCCTTCTTTCACTCCCTCCTTCTCTCCTCCTTCCTCCCCCTTTCCCTCCTTCATTCCTTCCCTTTTTCCCTCCCTCCTTTCTTCTCCCCTTCTTCCTGTCTGTTCTCCCCCAATACCATGGTAGAGTCCCTTCTAACTCTATTCTATGAGTCTATTTAATATAGTAATATATAGTAGTAACATTATATTATATAGTAGTATATATAACAGGATATATAGTAGTAAATATGTGAGAGGAAGCCACAGGGAGGAGGGAGCAAGCTTGTTTTCTGCTTCCTTGGAGACTAGGACGCGGAACAATGGCTTCAAACTACAGGAGAGGAGATTCCATCTGAACATTAGGAAGAACTTCCTGACTGTGAGAGCCGTTCAGCAGTGGAACTCTCTGCCCCGGAGTGTGGTGGAGGCTCCTTCTTTGGAAGCTTTTAAACAGAGGCTGGATGGCCATCTGTCAGGGGTGATTTGAATGCAATATTCCAGCTTCTTGGCAGGGGGTTGGACTGGATGGCCCATGAGGTCTCTTCCAACTCTTTGATTCTATGATTCTGTGATTCTAGGCAGCATTTCTTAACCTGGGGGTCAGGAAATAATGCTACCCCTCTATTCCGCCTTGGTTAGACGACACATGGAATATTGTGTCCAATTCTGGGCACCACAATTGAAAACAGATATTGACAAGCTGGAATGTGTCCAGAGGAGGGCGACTAAAATGATCAAGGGTCTGGAGAACAAGCCCTATGAGGAGCGGCTTAAGGAGCTGGGCATGTTTAGCCTGAAGGAGAGAAGGCTGAGAGGAGATATGATAGCCATGTATAAATATGTGAGAGGAAGCCACAGGGAGGAGGGAGCAAGCTTGTTTTCTGCTTCCTTGGAGACTAGGACGCGGAACAATGGCTTCAAACTACAAGAGAGGAGATTCCATCTGAACATGAGGAAGAACTTCCTGACTGTGAGAGCCGTTCAGCAGTGGAACTCTCTGCCCCGGAGTGTGGTGGAGGCTCCTTCTTTGGAAGCTTTTAAACAGAGGCTGGATGGCCATTGTCAGGGGTGATTTGAATGCAATATTCCTGCTTCTTGGCAGAATGGGGTTGGACTGGATGGCTCATGAGGTCTCTTCCAACTCTTTGATTCTATGATTCTATGAATTATAGAATCAAAGAGTTGGAAGAGACCTCATGGGCCATCCAGTCCAACCCCATTCTGCCAAGAAGCAGGAATATTGCATTCAAATCACCCCTGACAGATGGCCATCCAGCCTCCGTTTAAAAGCTTCCAAAGAAGGAGCCTCCACCACACTCCGGGGCAGAGAGTTCCACTGCTGAACGGCTCTCACAGTCAGGAAGTTCTTCCTCATGTTCAGGAAGTCCCGTCTCTTGTTTATTAAAATGCCAAATATTAAAACATGCCCAACATTTGCAACTATAGTATTCCAAGGAGATACTATTTAGTTCTTTTACCTTGAGCGTTCTGTCATATGTATTTTTTTTCCGTCAGAGCACAAAGAAATGGCTCTTACATAGGTAAAGACGGTCACTTTTCCCCACATAGATTTCCGCCTGACATTTCAGGCCGCTGCTAACCTTCTTTTCCCCTTCACTGAACTAAACACGTTGGGCTGGATGTTCGAAATTACCTTCTGCTTTGACGCAGGGGAGGGCCTTAAGGCCCTCCCCTGCGTCAAAGCAGAAGGTAATTTCGAACATCCAGCCCAACGTGTTCAGGGGAACTGCTGCTATTTGCTAGAGTGACATAAACATGCCGGATGCTGGCCAGTGGAGGCCCCTCTTTCTCTGCAAAGGGATGAGCACCCTCTAGCGGGAAGCAGAGCATTGGCCAAGAAAAAGAAAATCAACACCATTCTCATCTGCAAATAGTCTCCTAATTTTGCTTCTTGAGTCAACTTGAGCCAGGCAGCTGGGTGACTCAGCAGGCTGTGGCCAGGGATTATTATGGGGAAACTTCAAAGGTACGATTTGAAACTACTGCGTCAAGACGCATGTAGATACTAAGATCTACAGAATTGGAGATGGTGAGATTGCAAACCTGTGGCAGGTTGGAAATCCACAGATTAGGGAAAATGGGTGCACTGTTGCCTTTCTAATACAGAATCACAGAGTTGAGGAGACTTCATGGGCCATCCAGTCCAGCCCCCTGCCAAGAAGCAGGAAAATTGCATTCAAAGATGGCCACCCAGCCTCTGTTTAAAAGCTTCCAAAGAAGGAGCCTCCACCACACTCAGGGCAGAGAGTTCCACTGCTGAACGGCTCTCACAGTCAGGAAGTTCTTCCTCATGTTCAGATGGAATCTCCTCTCTTGTAGTTTGAAGCCATTGTTCCGCGTCCTAGTCTCCAGGAAGCAGAAAACAAGCTTGCTCCCTCCTTCCTGGAGCCCGTGGCGCAGTGGTTAAACCCCTGTGCCAACAGGACTGAAGACCCACAGGTCTCAGGTTCGAATCCAGGGAGAGGCGGATGAGCTCCCTCTATCAGCTCCAGCTCCTCATGTGGGGACATGAGAGAAGCTTCTCACAAGGATGATAAAACATCAAATCATCCGGGCGTCCCCTGGGCAACATCCTTGCAGACGGCCAATTCTCTCACACCAGAAACGACTTGCAGTTTCTCAAGTCGCTCCTGACACGACAAAAAGAGTTGGAAGAGACCTCATGGGCCATCCAGTCCAACCCCTGCCAAGAAGCAGGAAAATTGCATTCAAATCACCCCTGACAGATGGCCATCCAGCCTCTGTTTAAAAGCCTCCAAAGAAGGAGCCTCCACCACACTCTGGGGCAGAGAGTTCCACTGCTGAACAGCTCTCACATTCAGGAAGTTCTTATAGAATCATAGAGTTGGAAGAAACTTCATGAGCCATCCAGTCCAACCCACTGCCAAGAAGCAGGAAAATTGCATTCAAAGCACCCCCAACAGATGGCCATCCAGTCTCTGTTTAAAAGCTTCCAAAGAAGGAGCCTCCACCACACTCCGGGGCAGAGAGTTCCACTGCTGAACAGCTCTCACAGTCAGGAAGTTCTCTATAGAATCATAGAGTTGGAAGAGACTTCATGAGCCATCCAGTCCAACCCACTGCCAAGAAGCAGGAAAATTGCATTCAAAGCACCCCCAACAGATGTCCATCCAGTCTCTGTTTAAAAGTCTCCTAAGAAGGAGTCTGCACCTCACTCCGGGGCAGAGAGTTCCCCTGCTGAACAGCTCTCACATTTTAATAAACAAGAGACGGGACTTAGAATCATAGAGTTGGAAGAGACCTCATGAGCCATCTAGTCCAACCCCATTCTGCCAAGAAGCAGGAATTGCATTCAAAGCACCCGACAGATGGCCATCCAGCCTCTGTTTAAAAGCTTCCAAAGAAGGAGCCTCCACCATACTCCAGGGCAGAGAGTTCCACTGCTGAACGGCTCTCACAGTCAGGAAGTTCTTCCTCATGTTCAGATGGAATCTCCTTTCTTGTAGTTTGAAGCCATTGTTCCACATCCTAGTCTCCAGGGAAGCAGAAAACAAGCTTGCTCCCCCCTCCCTGTGACTTCCTCTCACGTATTTATACATGGCTATCATATCTCCTCTCAGCCTTCTCTTCTTCAGAACATGAACTTGGAAAAAAGGTGCCAAATTGGGAGAGCCAGTACTCCAGAGGACAGGAGCAGAATTCAAAACGATCTTCACAGATTAGAGAGATGGGTGAAAAATAACAAAATGAAGTTCAGCAGGGACAAATGCAAGATACTCCACTTTGGCAGGAAAAACGAAATGCAAAGATACAGAATGGGGGACAATGCCTGGCTCGAGAGCAGTACGTGTGATAAAGATCTTGGAGTCCTCGTGGACAACAAGTTAAACATGAGCCAACAATGTGATGTGGTGGCAAAAAAAGCCAATGGGATTTTGGCCTGCATCAATAGGAGCATAGTGTCTAGATCTAGGGAAGTAATGCTCCCCATGCTCTATTCCGCTTTGGTTAGACCACACCTGGAATATTGTGTCCAATTCTGGGCACCACAATTCAAGAGAGAGATTGACAAGCTGGCATGTGTCCAGAGGAGGGTGACTAAAATGATCAAGGGTCTGGAGAACAAGCCCTATGAGGAGCGGCATGTTTAGCCTGAAGAAGAGAAGGCTGAGAGGAGATATGATAGCCATGTATAAATATGTAGAGGAAGCCACAGGGAGGAGGGAGCAAGCTTGTTTTCTGCTTCCCTGGAAACTAGAACGCGGAACAATGGCTTCAAACTACAAGAAAGGAGATTCTGTTTGAACATGAGGAAGAACTTCCTGACTGTGAGAGCCATTCAGCAGTGGAACTCTCTGCCCCGGAGTGTGGTGGAAGCTCCTTCTTTGGAGGTTTTTAAACAGAGCCTGGGTGCTTTGAATGCAATTTTTCTGCTTCTTGGCAGTGGGTTGGACTTAATGGCCAACTCTAGGATTCTATGATTCTGCTTTCTATAATATCTGATAGGTATTGTTTTGGGATGATTCCCCTTTAGTGCCCTTTGTTTCACTTTCTCCCTTTTCTTTCCTCCCCATCCTTTCTATAGGTCGTTAAAGTGGGCCTCATTGAAGACTCTCCTGCAGCTACAGGTATGGCACACCTCATTGTTGTCCCCTTGAACAAAGGCCAGTTATTGTCATTTGCTCCACATCCTTGAACAGGGTGATTTGCTTGGATAACATAGATTAGGATTGACACAACTTGACAACTAGTGTGCTATGGTTTTGTAAAACACTGGAGCTGAAAGGCATCAGGTGGTGATTTTCCAGCTCCTTGATGTGAAAGTCTTTCAAGTGTGCCTTGGAAAACTCCGCCCAAGGATAGCCTTGTCTCCTAATATATGCGCACCATTGATTCCATTTCTCTCCACCAATGAAACACCAGAAATATTGTATATACTTGAGTATAAGCTGACCCAAATATAAGCCAAGGCACCTAATTTTACACAAAAAACTTGGAAAACGTATTGACTTGAGTATAAGACGAGGGTGGGAAATGCAGTGACGACTGGTATATTTCAAAATAAAAATAGTGTTCTGTCGCGTGCTGGGCCTGTAAATAATTGTCTTTAGAACAGGATGTGCAACCTTTGCCCAGAGGGAAGCCAGGGGGCCCAAGGAGAAGTTCTCAGAGGTTTTCCACCACAAATGATCTTTAGATGGCTTGTGAAGTATAACAAAGTCTTTTATTAATGAACAATCAAACAGAAACTTCTCTTGTCTTCAGAAAGTTAAACAAATGATTCCAGGCTTTTATGCAACTGGTAGCTTCCTAAACTTGCCCACGAAGGACAGGCAACTGTCTTCAATAACTTCTTCTTTACTTTAAAGGAAAATCCCCTTTTTAACTTCTCCCAGGCTGACTGTAATCTAACCCTTACTGATGTGGGCTCCGCTACCGGGTCGAACTGCTTCTCGAACGCCGAGTGGACCTACCAGTAAAGGCTTAGATGTTCTCCAGCTGGAGTTCTTTGGTCTTTAGGGCTGTTTCCCTGGAAATCTTTGGAGACTCTTAAGACTGTTCTCCCCCGGAAAGTCTTAAGGGTTGAAGCTTTTGTACAGGGGAAGCTTGCACACGTCCTGTACATTAGCTTTCCTTGCTGAGACTAACTAAAAAATGGCTCCCTTCCCTTCCCAATTGCCCTGAGCAAGGGGCGGAACCAAAACTTAACGATGATGGACAGGTGACTTGCCCTATGACTGCAACCAAAGGAAGCCACCTATCTGCAGAGTCCCTGAAACCTTGGACTGCAAGCAAACATTTAATACAAAGCAAATAAAATTGGAGCTCCTGGTATAGCCGTACCAGAACAAGTAGATACCAATAAAATGACATTAATTGAGGCATCCATAGGTTAAATGGTTTTGAATACATCCATAAAATTGTAATTTCAGATAAGACTGTCCAACCCTGATTAAACCATTATTCTAACCTTCTTCAGTGTAAATGTGCTGACGTATCCTTCCAATCATAATAACTAGAGTAAAATAATAAATGTAATAAAAATAATAATGGAGTAAAATAATGGAAATAATAACAGTAATAATAGAGTAAAATAATAAATGTAGTACTAGTGATAATAATAAAGAGTAAAACAATAAATGTAACAATAATAGAGTAAAATAATGTAAATGTAATAATAGAGTAAAATAATGAATGTAATATAATAGAGTAAAATAATAAATGTAATGAAGTAATAATAATAGAGTAAAATAATATACATGTAATAATATTATTGTTAGAGTAAAATAATAAATGTAATAAAAATAATACTAATAACAGAGTAAAATAATAAATAACCCTGACTCAAGTATAAGCCGAGAGGAGCTTTTTCTAGGCTTATGCTCGAGTATATACAGTAAGCTGCGGCACCCAGTTTTACCATTAAACACTGGGAAAACGTATTGACTCGAGTATAAGTTAAGGATGGGAAATGCAGCAGCTACTGATAAATTCCAAAATAAAAAATGGATACCAATAAAATGGCATTAATTGAGGCATCAGAAGTTTAAATGTTTCTGAATATTTACCATACTCTAAAGAAGGAGCCCCCAATGGCACAGTGGGTTTTACCCCTGTGCCGGCAGGACTGAAGACCGACAGGTTGCAGGTTCGAATCTGGGGAGAGGCGAATGAGCTCCCTCTATCAGCTCCAGCCTGGGAGGAGAAGCAGAGCAGAAGCAGAAAAGAAAACACACTGTTGAAGGAGGGGAAGAGGAGAGAGACATATATCATATATTGCAAGCAATGGCCTCCAGGTTCTGCTACCCGGCTTGACCCCATTATAAGCAGAGGGAGGCTTATAAAAAGGTCAGAAAAACTCGGTTTATCTTCGAGTATATATGGTATAATTCTTTCTGATTGTGGTGGTGGAGAGAATAATGATATACAGCAAGAAAGGACAACTCCTAGATAGGGGACACTCAGAATAGGTGACAAGTGCCTGAGAAAAACCTTTATTTTTAGGTAGATGCCTTAATATCGAAGCAGATCTGAGAATTAAGATTGCTTCCAACTTTCATCAAACAGGGACATGCCTTGGGCTCTTTCCTTGTTTCTGACGGCTACGGCCTCATGGTTTCCTTCCTTTTCAGGTGAGGGAGACGACTCCCCGCTCATCAGCCTCACAGTTCCCTCTACGTCTCCTCCTTCTACCTCTGGCCTCGCCAGGGACATCACTGCCACTCCTCCATCATCTCCTTCTATGACTAGTGGATTAGCTATCATGGGGTAAGTTTGTGTATGGAAAGACTCTTCCTTCTAGTGAGTTCTCCCTACTCAGTAAATAAGAAAAATGCAAACTGCCTAGCAAAAAGCCGCCCCGCGTCCCCATCGGAGAGATGGTGGCGGGGGATAAATAAAGATTATTATTATTATTATTATTATTATTATTATTATTATTAGCAAACACCAGCTGTTTGTCCTTCTCTCCCTCTAATTGATTTCATAGAATCATAGAATCAAAGAGTTGGAAGAGACCTCCTGGGCCATCCAGTCCAACCCCATTCTGCCAAGAAGCAGGAATATTGCATTCAAATCACCCCTGACAGATGGCCATCCAGCCCCTGTTTAAAAGCTTCCAAAGAAGGAGCCTCCACCACACTCTGGGGCAGAGAGTTCCACTGCTGAACGGCTCTCACAGTCAGGAAGTTCTTCCTAATGTTCAGATGGAATCTCCTCTCTTGTAGTTTGAAGCCATTGTTCCGCGTCCTAGTCTCCAAGGAAGCAAGGATTTATTTATTTACGACATTTATATGCCTCCCTTCTCACCCTGAAGGGGACTCAGAGCAGCTTACAAGATATATATACATTCATACAATATATTATATTATTAACGTAGTACGATATCTATTATCTATTACTATATTGTATTATACCATTATAATATTATTAGTAATGTTGTAATCTATATAAATAAAAATGTAATGTTCGTTTGTGGGATTAACTCAAAAACCGCTGGACGAATTGCCGCCAAATTTGGACACAAGACACCTACAAACCCAAGGAGTGACCATCACTCAAAACAAATTGATTTTGTCATTTGGAAGTTGTAGTTGCTGGGATTTATAGTTCACCTACAATCAAAGAGCATTCCAAACTCCATCAACACTGGAATTGAACCAAACTTGGCACACAGTTCTCCCATGACCAACAGAAAATACTGGAAGGGTTTGGAGGGCATTGACCTTGAGTTTGGGAGTTGTAGTTCACCTACATCCAGAGAGCACTGTGGACTCAAACAATGATGGATCTGGACCAAACTTGGCACAAGCACTCAATATGCCCAAATATGAACACAGATGGAGTTTGGGGGAAAATAGACCTTGACATTTGGGAGTTGTAGTCATTGGGATTCACAGTTCACCTACAATCAAAGAGCATTCTGAACCCCACAAAGGATAGAATCGGGGCAAACTTCTCACACAGAACCCCCATGACTAACAGAAAATACTTAAGGCCATCCAACTCCCTTCACGAGGGCAAGAAAACACAATCTTCTGTGTGCCAAGTTCTGTGTGCCAAGTTTGGTTCAATTCCAGTGTTGATGGAGTTTGGAATGCTCTTTGATTGTAGGTGAACTATAAATCCCAGCAACTACAACTTCCAAATGACAAAATCAATTTGTTTTGAGTGATGGTCACTCCTTGGGTTTGTAGGTATCTTGTGTCCAAATTTGGCGGCAATTCGTCCAGTGGTTTTTGAGTTAAGTTAATCCTGACAAAGAGCCATCCAACCATATATATAGATAGATATATATGATTCACACACACAGATATAGTATCATAGATTTGAAAGGGACCCCTAAAGAAGGACAATTTTATGTTGCATGTTCCAGAGTAGGCAAACCAGACCATCTCTACATCAACACAAGCATAAAGAAATTACATACATTGGAAACCAACACTTTCTCATTACTTTGTTTTCCAGATCACCAGACTGGGCCACAGTAACGCGTGGCAGGGGACAGCTAGCAATAATACTAATAGTATTATTAGTAATATTGTAATATTATTAATTGTAATATTATTAGTAATATAATTACTAATTAATTAATAGTAATATAATTCTGCCAAAACTGAACCATTTGCAGATTACAAGGAAAGAAAAAAATGCCTCTTGCACTTTTCCAGCAGTGATGTTGGCATGTTCTGACAGCTTTCTAAAGCAGCTGAATTTGGTTCTGAGTGCTGTCAAAGTTAAGCAGCACATCCAGTCTTCTTGCCAGGCTGCTTTGATATATATGTGTGTGTGTGTGTGTGTGTGTGTGTCAAAAAGTTTTGCCTCCTGTGTCATAAAAATGTTACAAATGAACATATAACAGCAGAAGTTGTTGCAGATTATAGTCCGAACTGTCCTCTGCACAAAACTACCGTTCAGTGTAGTCACCATCAATTTGTACACATTTGTGCCATGGTTTAACCCAGGCATCAAAATCATTTCAGAAAAATTCAGGGTTTTGCTTTGTGACCCATGGTTTTAAAGCTGTTTTAACGTCATTCAAGTCATTGAACCTGAAACCACGTGGCTTGTTTTTTAGAGGTCCAAACATGTAAAAATCAGAAGGGTCTGAATCATAAACATTCTTCAAGTGATGATGGATTTTCTTAGATGCACGGCCAAATATTCAATGACAACTCTTTCTTTTAGCTTTAGATCAGTGTTTCTCAACCTTGCTAATGCCGTGACCCCTTAATACAGTTCCTTATGTTGTGGTGACCCCCAACCATACTATTGTTTTTGTTGCTACTTGGTATCTGTCATTTTACTACTGTTATAAATCGTAATGTAAATATCCGATATGCAGGATGTATTTTCATTCACTGGACCAAATTGAACACAAATACCCAATATGCCCAAATGTGAATGCTAGTGGGGTTGGGGGAGGATTGATTTTGTAATTTGGGAGTTGTTGTTGCTGGGATTTATAGTTCACCTATAATCAAGGAGCATTCTGAACTCCATCAGAGATGGATTTGAACCGAACTTGGCACACAAAGCTCCCATGACCAACAGAAAACACTGGAAGGGTTTGGTGGGCATTGACCTTGAGTTTGGGAGTTGTTGTTCACCTATATCCAGAGGAGCGCTGTGGATTCGCGCAATGGTGGATCTGAACCAAACTTGGCACAAATACTCAATATGCCCTAATGTGAACACTGGTGGAGTCTGGGGAAAATAGACTTTGACATTTGGTAGATGTAGTTGTTGGAATTTATAGTTCACCTTCAATCAAAGATCATTCTGAATGCAACCAACAATACAATTGGATCAAACTTCCCACACAGAATCCCAATGACCAATAGAAAATACTGTGTTTTCTGATGGTCTTTGGTGACCCCTTTGACATCCCCTCACGACCCCCTCAGAGGTCCCGACCCCCAGGTTGAGAAACACTGCTTTAGATTTATGTTCTAATCATTCATTCTGAACAAGAAAAGACTATACATTCAATCTGAACAAGAAAAGACTATACCAGTAGATTCAGGTTACCTCTATCATATCATGCATAGATTTTCCAATAGCTGTGGAATAAAAGTTAGAGCAATGGAGGCATTACTTTTTGACCCATCCTCGTGCGTGCTTGTGTGTGTGTGTATATATATATGTATATATATACTGTATTTTCTGGCATATAAGACTACTTTTTAACCCAAGAAAATCTTCTCAAAAGTCAGGGGTCGTCTTATATGCGGGAGTCGTCTTATACGTGGGAGTAGCCTTATACATGGGAGTCATAGAGCGGGTGCTGAAAGTTCCAATCTGGATTGGAGAATCTGTGGTTGCTGCATATGGTGGAGGGAGCTCAAAAATGGCAGTGGCCGCATCCCTGTAATATGCAGCGTCTGTATGAAAGCATTAAGGGTGATTCTGTACAAGTACGGTAGAAGAAAATCCATTCATCAGGATTCGTGGACTTAATGCGGTTCCGATGGTGAGGTGAAGGGGCACCTCAGGAAGGTGTAAGTGAAGGGCGGAGCAAGCTGCAGGCGTCTGGGGCGCCCGGGGTATGGAAAATTTGCTCGGTTCTTTGCGGACAAAGTCGCTTTGATCCGTTCAGGTCTAGACACCATGTTAACGGCAGTCTCTGAGGATGTGACGAGAGCACCTGTCTGTCCGAGTTTGTTGGATTCGTTTCAATTTGTGACACCTGAGGATGTGGACAAGGTGTTGGGAGGGATGAGGGCAACCACATGCATCCTAGACCCCTGCCCATCCTGGCTTCTGAAGGAGGCCAGAGGGGGATTGGCCGAGTGGGTAAAGGTGGTGGTTAATGCCTCCCTTCGGGAAGGCATAATTCCAGCCAGCTTAAAGCAAGCTGTTATAAAACCGCTGTTGAAAAAACCATCACTGGACCCCACTCAATTCGTCAACTATCGGCCTGTTTCCAATCTCCCCTTTTTGGGCAAAGTCCTGGAACGTGTGGTGGCCTCACAACTCCAAGCATTCTTGGTAGACACTGATTATCTGGATCCGGCGCAGTCTGGCTTTAGGCCGGGGCATGGTACCGAGACAGCCTTGGTCGCCTTGGTCGATGATCTCCGGCGTGAGCTTGACAGGGGGAGTGTGTCTCTGTTGGTTCTGCTGGATCTCTCAGCGGCCTTCGATACCGTCGACCACGGTATCCTTCTGGGACGCCTCGTGGGAATGGGCCTGGGGGGCACTGTTCTACAGTGGCTCAGGTCCTTCCTAGAGGATCGTACCCAGAAGGTGTTACTGGGGGACACCTGCTCGTCCTCACAACCATTGACTTGTGGGGTCCCGCAGGGTTCAATACTGTCCCCCATGTTGTTTAACATCTACATGAAGCCGCTGGGAGAGATCATCCGGAGTTTCGGGGTACGGTGTTATCTGTACGCAGATGACGTCCAACTCTGTCACTCCTTTCCACCTACTACCAAGGAGGCTGTCCAGGTCCTGAACCGGTGCTTGGCCGCTGTGTCGGACTGGATGAGGGTGAACAAATTGAAACTCAATCCAGACAAGACAGAGGTACTCCTGGTCAGTCGGAAGGCCGAACAGGGTATAGGGTTACAGCCTGTGTTGGACGGGGTCGCACTCCCCCTGAAGACACAGGTTCGCAGCTTGGGTGTGACTCTGGATTCTTCGCTAAGCTTGGAACCCCAAGTTTCAGCGGTCTCCAGAGGAGCATTTGCACAGCTTCGGCTCGTGCGCCAGCTGCGCCCGTATCTTGGGAAGTCGGACTTGGCCACGGTAGTCCACGCTCTTGTCACATCCCGCATAGATTACTGCAATGCGCTCTACGTGGGGTTGCCCTTGAAGACTGCCCGGAAGCTTCAGATGGTCCAGCGCTCAGCAGCCAGGTTGCTAACGGGAGCGGCACTCAGGGAGCACACCACCCCCTTGTTGAGCCAGCTCCACTGGCTGCCAATTTGCTACCGGGCACAATTCAAGGTGCTGGCTTTAGCCTATAAAGCCCTAAACGGTTCCGGCCCCACTTACCTCTCCGAACGCATCTCCGCCTATGAACCGGCGAGGACACTAAGATCGTCCGGGGAGGCCCTGCTCTCGGTCCCGCCAGCATCACAAGTGCGGCTGGCGGGGACGAGAGACAGGGCCTTCTCGGTGGTGGCCCCTCGGCTATGGAATGCCCTACCAACGGAGATCAGACAGGCCCCGTCGCTACTGGCGTTTAGAAGGCGGGTGAAGACGTGGCTCTTCGAACAGGCGTTCGGATAAGCATGCAATTAACATCTGACTCAGAAAGACGGCATACTGAACAAGGAATGGTAAAATGACTATGAGATTGGATCTGATTTTATTCGAGGCGTGATGACGCTATGTGTATTGTTTGTGGATGTCTGTCATATGCATTGTTCAATGTTGCACTTTTTATTGTAAACCGCTTAGAGTCGCCTTGGCTGATATAGGCGGTATACAAAAGGAGTAAATAAATAAATAAATAAAATAAATAGGCCCAGAAAAAAACACCCCTTTTACCTGTCTGGCCCGCCCTTGTATCCTATTACCGTACCTCCTCATCTGCCTCTCAGACCTCGCTCCTGAAGACTGCAGTGAAGCGGTGCAGGTGCGCATGTGCCAGATCTGAAAGGCAGAGAAGGAGGTACAGTAATAGGAAAATGACCATCTTGAAATAAAATCTGATGCTTTTAAAAATTTTATTTGGTGTTCGTTGGAAGAGGGGTAGTCTTATATGGCGAATATATCCCAAACTCTATATTTTAACTAGAAAAGTTGGGGGTCGTCTTATACGCCCAGTCATCTTATATGCCAGAAAATACAGTATATTCCAGTGGTAGGATGTCCAAGATTTTCAGTGCAGTCACTGGTAATTTTGAAAAATGTAGAGTCTACATTTCTTTTTTTAAAAATATATATTTTATTAATGTTTTCAAATAACAATAAAAAGAGGGGGAACATATCTATGATATAGGAAAGTAGGAAAATAGGGTGATAGAGAAGAAGGTGATCGCACGGGATATGAGATGAGGGTAAAAGGGGGTTGGGTACTAGAATCTACATTTCTATCTTGATCCTATAATCCAGGTGTTCTTTGGGAGGTTCTTGAATGAGGTGTACAAAATATTTTTCTTTCTTGCTGCTTTATCTATTTTGTATACATATAGATACAGATATAAAGTTCATTTTTCTCTTTCTGAAGGGATCCATATCGGGCTAATCAGATTTTCAAAATGGCACCATAATCCTGTCTATCTTTTTCTTATAGTCAGAGCTTCCTACTAGGTGTAATGAATTTGCTGTGCATTTGTTCGCATCACCTCCTTTTTTCCCTTTGGGATCACAGGTCTCCCAATAGTCCTTACGGAGATGTCATTGGCCTGCAAGTGGACTACTGGCTAGCCCAGTCCTCAGAGAAGAAGAAGGAAGGGGAGAAAAAGGACGCCAGTTCCAAAAACACACTCAAGAGTGTCTTCCGCTCTGTGCAAGTGTCACGGCTTCCAAACAGCGGGGAAACTCAGCTGTCTGGGACCATGGCCATGACTGTTGTCACCAAAGAGAAGAATAAGAAAGGTGAGTAATATGGAGTGGGACTTCCTTCTTGCAGAGGCTTCCTGCTTGTGTGCATGATGAAATGAGGTTTTTGTGCAGGGGTCTAGGAGAGAGCTGTTTTTTTTCCTGTTCCATCAAGGTGCTCAATGGCAATGGAGACTTGCGGCATTCCTCCTCCCCAAATGTATCACTCTAGATGCACCACCTGTTGTTTCTTACCTTGAGAAATGTTGGTAATAGTAACTTTCAAAGCCTTCACTATTTGTTAATGCCTATATGCTAACTTGTATTGTAAGTATAATATTATTGAAGGCTTTCATGGCCGGAATCACTGGGTTGTTGTAGGTTTTTTCGGGCTATATGGCCATGGTCTAGAGGCATTCTCTCCTGACGTTTCGCCTTCATCTATGGCAAGCATCCTCGGAGGTAGTGAGGTCTGTTGATGTGACCCAATTGTTGATCTGGTTTGCGGATGACTAGGACATCTAGAAAAGGCAGTGTTCCTTCATTTTCTTTTTCCATGGTGAACTGGATGTTTGGGTGGATGCTGTTAAGATGGTTCAGGAACCTGTTGAGTTCTTCTTCTCCATGGCTCCAGTAGATAGTTTGTATTGAAAATGAACAAAATCTGGCTACCAGTATTAAAAAACTCTAAAATTACAACAGCAAAACAACAGAGAGGAAACAAACAGGCACATCTTAACACCTCTCAACAAAAGATTTTCCCAGGCTCAGCCAGGCCTTCAAATGCTAATGAAGGTGGTCAGTTGAAACATTCACACCTAGCTCCAGCAGAGAAGAGCTCTTTGTCCCACCCTGGTCATTCCACAGATATATAAACCCATTTCCTAGTTCCAACAGACCTCACTACCTCTGAGGATGCTTGCCATAGATGCAGGCGAAACGTCAGGAGAGAATGCCTCTAGACCATGGCCATATAGCCTGAAAAAACCTATAACAACCCAGTGATTCTATTATATGATAAGAAACAAAGATGGCAGGTACCTAACAGAAGCTGAAGAGATCAAGAGAAGGTGGCGAGACTATACAGGAGATCATTATAGGAAGGATAATAATATCGAGGATAGTTTTGACGGTGTGGTGAGTGAATTAGAACCAGAGATCCTGAGGAGTGAGGTTGAATGGGCCTTAAAAAGCATTGCTAACAACAAGGCAGCAGGAGACGACGGGATCCCAGCTGAACTGTTTAAAATCTTGAAAGATGATACTGTCAAGGTGATGCATGCCATATGCCAGCAAATATAGAAAACACAAGAATGGCCATCAGACTGGGAAAAAATCAACTTATATCCCCATACCTAAAAAGGGATAGTCTTATCTTAAATTACAGTTTTATGTAAATATTCAAAAACATTTAACTTACTGATGCCTCAATTAATGTAATTTTATTGATATCTATTTTTATTTTGAAATTTACCAGTAACTCCTGCATTTCCCACCCTCGGCTTATACTCAAGTCAGTAAGTTTTCCCAGTTTTTTTGTGATAAAATTAGGTGCCTCGGCTTATACTCGGGTCGGCTTATACTCGAGTATATATGGTATAGGTTTTAGGCAACTGCAATTTCAACTTCAAAGAAACACTTTAAAACTCTCCTAGCTCATTTTCTACTTTTTGTGCAGTGGCATGTCTTTGTCCCTGACAGTTCAAAGACATGGTTTATCAGTTTAACAGCTGAGTTACCTCTGTGCCATTACATGAATGTTTGTGAACATCACTTCTAACATGGTCATGCCTTTCCTTGACTAGTGGTTTTCAAAAGGTGGTTTCCAGATGTTCACATTTGCCAAAAGGATATGACACCATTTTTCCTTTCAAAAAGTTTATGAATGCCATTTTTCCAAAAAAATAAATGGTTTCTTTTCATGAAGTGGAGTCTTTTGTGCCTTCCAGTTCCCACAATTTTTCTGAGCAAGAAACCCAAAGAGAGAGAGGTCGATTCCAAGAGCCAAATGATTGACGGAATCAGCCGGTTGATCTGCTCTGCGAAACAACAGCAAACTATGCTGAAAGGTAATGCTTGCATCCACAGTTCCTGTGTCGGATACCCAGATGGGAAACATTGCAGTTTTCATTATAGTGTGTTTATTTATAGATTCCCAAACTGTTGGGTGCTGTATACATTTAAAAGATCCTGGCTGCAAACTTACAGTCTAAAGCAGTGGTTCTCATCCTTCCTAATGCTGTGACCCCTTAATACAGTTCCTCATGTTATAGTGACCCCCAATCATAAAATTATTTTTGTTGTTACTTCATAACTGGAATTTTGCTACTGTCATGAATCATAATTTAAATATCTGATATGCTGGACCATTCACTGGACCAAATTTGGCACAAATACCCAATACATCCAAATCTGAATACTGGTGGGGTTGGGGAGGGGATTGATTTTGGCATTTGGGAGTTGTAGTGCTGGGATTTTTAGTTCACGTACAATCAAAGAGCATTCTGAACTCCACCAAGGATGGAATTTAACCAAGCTTGGCACACACAACTCCCATGGCCAGCAGAAAATCCTGGAAGGGGTGTAGTTCACCTACATCCAGAGAGCCCTGTGGACTCAAACAATGATGGGTTTGGACCAAATTTGGCACAAATCCTCAATATGCCCAAATGTGAACACTGGTGGAGTTTGGGGAAAATAGACCTTGACATTTGGGAGTTGTAGTTGCTGTGATTTATAGTTCACCTACAATCAAAGAGCAATCTGAACCCCACCAATGATAGAATTAGGCCTAACTTCTCACACAGAGTGAGAAGTTAACACTAAGTGGGTTAAAGCGCTGAGTTGCTGAGCTTGTCAACTCAAAGGTCGCAGGTTCGATTCCGGGGAGCGGCGTGAGCTTCCGCTTTAAGCCCTAGCTTCTGCCAACCTAGCAGTTCAAAAACATGCAGATGTGAGTACACCTTCTCCGGCAGGAAGGTAACAGTGCTCCATGCAGTCATGCCGGCCATATCACCTTGGAGGTGTCTATGGACAATGCTGGCTCTTCGGCTTAGAAATGGAGATGAGCACCACACCCCAGAGTCAGACATGACTGGACTTAATGTCAGGGGACAACTTTTTTTTTCTCACCCAGAACCCCCATGACCAACAGAAAATACTGTGTTTCCTGATGGTCTTTTGCGACCCCTCTGACACCTCCTCATGACACCCCCCCCAGGGGTCCCGACTCCCAGGTTGAGAAACACTGCTCCAGATAGATAAGATAGATAGATTAGATAGAGATAGATAGGTAGGTAGGTAGATTGATCAGGAGGACTGCTGGGAGTTGCAGTCCAAGAAAAGGTAGAGAAGAAAGAAAGGGGAGGAAGAGAAAGAAAAGGGAAGGAAGGAAGAGGAAGAAAGGAAGAAAGGAGGGAGGAGGGAGGAAGGAAGGAAGGAAAGGAAGGAAGGAAGAAGGAGGAAGGAAGAGAAGGAGGAGGAGGGAGGAGGGAGGGAGGGAGGGAGGGAGGGAGGGAGGGAAGGAAGGAAGGAAGGAAGGAGGGAGGGAGGGAGGGAAGGAGGGAGAAGGAGGGAAGGAGGGAGGGAGGGAAGGAAGGAAGGAAGGAAGGAAGGAAGGAAGGAAGGAAGGGGAGGGGAGGGAAGGGAGGGAAGGAAGGAGGGAGGAGGGAGGGAGGAGGGAAGGAAGAAGGAAGGAAAGGAAGGGAAGGAGGAAGGGAAGGAGGGAGGGAGGGAGGGAGGGAAGGGAAGGAAGGAAGGAAGGAAGGAAGGAAGGAGGAGAAGGAAGGAAGGGAGAAAGGGGGGGAAGGAAGGAGAAAGAGGGAAGGAAGGAAGGAAGGAAGGAAGGAAGGAAGGAAGGAGGGGGGAAGGGAGGGAGGGAGGGAGGGAGGAGGGAGGGAGAGGGAAGGAAGGAAGAAGGAGGAAGGAAGGAAGGAAGGAAGGAAGGAAGGAAGGAAGGAAGGAAGGAAGGAAGGAGAGAAAAAAGGAGGAGAGAAAGAGGGAGGGAAGGTTGGCCACAGCAATGTGTGGTGGGTACGGCTAGTAATAATAATAAAAAGAAAAACAACAACAATAGACTGCCTCATAAGAGCCTTTTGTCTTTTCTAGTTTCCATCGATGGAGTGGAATGGAGCGACATTAAGTTTTTCCAGCTCGCCGCACAGTGGCCAACCCATGTGAAACACTTCCCTGTTGGACTCTTCGGTTCAAAGCCAGCCTGATGTGGGCCATGCCTCTTTCCTGCATCCTCATTGCTCTGTGATGTGTCATCAACCGTGTCCAAATTGTCGGCCAAATCGGAGCTCTCCTGTGATAATGTCGCCCATTATTGTGTCTTGCTCTGGCCTCACTAGGGAGGGACCAGCTTCGGATGCCAAGAGAGACGCTACATTTTTTTGTCTCCAGCCAAGGAGCACCCACGGAGACCCCTTTTTCTGTATTTTGCTGCCACATTTGTGTCGTGGGCACCTGGCGTCCCCTCTAAGTGTCCTGCCTCTTGAGAATGCATCTCAAAAGATTTCAGTTCTGCTCACCTTTCGTTATACTTTTGCACACTCCTTACTTGAGCTGCCCTGGCACGCCTGTGTCTTCCGGAAGAATGTGTTTTGAGGATTGCCTTCAACAACATCGTTCCTTTTCTTGCATCCTTGAACCAGACGAGAGCGTTGACCTCTCAAGAGTTCTTCTCGGCCTTGGCCTTCTCAAAAGCACAAAGCCTGCGTCGGCTCCACTTTGCTAGCCATTAACAGTTGAGACCCTTTCTCTTCTTCTCCAGCCCCTCTTTGTTTCACAATCACAAGGGCAAACATGTCAAATTGTTGGAAGGAGCCTGATCCAACATGTGAGCTTGCCTGGATGAAGATCGGAAGGTTCATTTTGGAGTGAATTAGAAGCTGGTGCTGTCTTTGGTAGTTCCACCCACTCTCCTGGCTTAACCATGTGCATTCAATGTTCTGTAATGGTACTAATATTTCTTATGGGGTTTTTTTTTAAGGAAACACATTCTTCCCAACTAAAGAAGGGACATAATTAACTAATATATAGGCTACATTCCAAGTAAGGCCCAGCTTGCTAAGGTGGTATTACAGTACGATGCACAAGGAGATCAGGAGAGGCAGTTTGCCCAGCCATCTCTTCTTCTGCCGGCTTATCCTGTTCACTTTTTGGGATCACAGCAGCATGCCTGCCCGCCTACTCGCCTGCCTGCCTTTTAAACATTTCACTTTCCAAAAGGCTTTGTCACAAGGCCTTTAGGAATATATATGTGCCAATCAGAAGTCACAGACGTTGGTAGATGCTCCATTTTGAAAACACGTGTTGGGACGAGTGAGAGCCTTTGTAATGAGATTTCCCTGTTGACGGGAGTTAGTTGATATTACTCTGCCGATTCAAAATGGCAGTTTCCAGCTCTAATAGGGCAGGAAGTTGAGATTGGACAATATACGTTTCTCTAGAGGAGGCCTATGTTACAATGGTCATTATTTTTTCAAAAGAGATATCCCTTCAAACACCTTCTAAAATATATTGTCGAAGGCTTTCATGGCCTGAATCGCTGGGTTGTTGTAGGTTTTTTCGGGCTATATGGCCATGTTCTAGAGCAGTAGTTCTCAATCTGGGGTCCCCAGATGTTTTGGCTTTCAATTCCCAGAAATCCCAGCCAGTTTACCAGCTGTTAGGATTTCTGGGAGTTGAAGGCCAAATACATCTGGGGACCCCAGGTTGAGAACCACTGTTCTAGAGGCATTCTCTCCTGACGTTCCGCCTGCATCTATGGAAAGCATCCTCAGAGGTAGTGAGGCCTGTTGGAACTAGGAAAATGGGTTTATATATCTGTGGAATGACCAGGGTGGGACAAAGAACCCTTGTCTGCTGGAGCTAGGTGTGAATGTTTCAACTGACCACCTTGATTAGCATGGTCTGACAGAGCCTGGGGCAAATTTTTGTTGAGAGGTGATTAGATGTCCTTGTTTGTTTCCTCTCTGTTGTTGTGCTTCTTTTTTGACTTGGGTGATGGTTGGAGTTTTTTTGTAGATAGCTGTCCCTGATTGTTTCCTCTCTGTTGTTTTGCTGTTGTAATTTTAGAGTTCTATTATTATTATTTATTAAAGTTTTGACAATGATACATAAAAGGAAAAAGGGAGAAAGAATAAAAAAACTGGTAGGGGGCATTGATGGGGTAAGAGTTGAGGGGGGAGGATTGGGATAGGTTTTGTGTTTGTGGGGAGGCAGTGAAACAAAACAGTAAAAAAGGGACCAAAGAGTGGTGGTGGAGGGAGTGGTGGTGGTGGAGGGACAAATTCAGTCTCCTAGCACTCTCCTGTTTAGTCTGGAGATGTTTCCTTTATCAATCTTGCTGTTGTCTGATCCGTGCTACATTAAGTTGTCTTCTCAGTTATCTCGCAGCCAAAAACGAGGAAACCATGAAAATGAGCAAAACCTGGCTACCAGTATTAAAAAAACTCTAAAATTACAACAGCAAAACAACAGAGAGGAAACAATCAGGGACAGCTAATCACCTCTCAACAAAAGATTTCCCCAGGCACTAACAAGCCACACCAAAAAAACTGCCAGGCCATCAAATGCTAATCAAGGTGGTCAGTTGAAACATTCACACCTAGCTCCAGCAGACAAGAGTTCTTTGTCCCACCCAGATATATAAACCCTTTTTCCTAGTTCCAGCAGACCTCACAACCTCTGAGGATGCTTGCCATAGATGCAGGCGAAACGTCAGGAGAGAATGCCTCTAGAACATGACCATACAGCCTGAAAAAAACCTACAACAACCTTCTAAAATAAATTAATCCCATTTACGGAGAAGATTGATCACTACATTTTTGGGACCATGACACTAGTCTTGGATGAAAACGTACCTGGGCACATGATGGGTCAAAAGACCTTATCTGCCCAAAGTCTACGATGCCTCTCTTTCACCAAGTGGGGCATGGAGCCCAAAATCAGATCCCTTTTGCATTTGGAAACAACGAGCTCCTTTGAAAATTAATTTTGAATGAAATAGTGGATGGGTTATGGGGAGGGATAATATTCTGAAGGTGGTTGTCCTAATTTCTAGACTGTTACAATGGAAGAGGGATTTTATAGGATGTTACAGAAATTTACAGGCTGTTACAGTGGAAGAGGAATTGTTGAAGGCTTTCATGGCTGGAATCACTGTGTTGCTGTGAGTTTTCCAGGCTGTATGGCCATGGGCTGTATGGCCACACAGGCCAGAAAACTCACAGCAACCCAGAGGCCAAGCGGGTTGAATATCAGTCTTATTTTCCTGCTGGATTTCAAGAGGGGAATATTTGCATCACTTTCTCTCAAGCTGTTTCTCTTCAGATCACTTTCAGGCAAGCCTTTCCTGTTGGTATTCTGCTCAAGAGAAAAAGGCAACTACTGAACGGAGTACTCCATTCACTTAATAATACTGGAAGGCCCGTCTTAAGAGCTAGATCGGCTCAGATTGCCATTTCCCTTGTGGGATCCCATTGGCAGATACAGTTGCATTAGGTGTTGGTTTTTGCCTTCTCTTCACCAGTGCTGTGAGCTAGTCTACCAGATGTGATTTTGTGACTTTGTTCTTGGGTGCCTGTCGTAAACTTTGTGACCTCCCTTCTCAATGGTGAGATAGATCATTTTAGCATGTAGCCCTGAATGTTGAAGAACCACCGTGAGTTTGGAACAAGCAGCAGGAAAAGGGGGTTTATTCTATGTGCCCTTTATGTGTGGATTTGAGGGACAGCATGAATAGAAGGCAATGTCTTCGAATAAGCACAATTCTGAAGTCTTTTCATGTCGGCTGGCAAAATAGTATTTCGTTTTTATATCCCACATCTTCTGATTTGCATATGTCATTTATGATCAAGACTGGGCAGCTTTGGGTTAATCTAGGGAGAGAACTCCTCAAAATTAGGCTGGTTTCCCATTGTAGTCCCTGTGAATTGCACATATGGTAATTCCAGCGCTGCACAGAAAAGCTGCTGTAATTAGCGGTGGATGAAGAGAACTGGAGGCTGTAGCCCCTCCTACTGGCTATTTATACTCACTGGGAGAGTGGGCGGGGCTACCGCCAACAATGTTTAATGACTCTAGAACAGTGGTTCTCAACCTGTGGGTCCCCAGGCCTACAACTCCCAGAAATCCCAGCCAGTTTACCTGCTATTAGGATTTCTGGGAGTTGAAGGCCAAAACATCTGGGGACCCACAGGTTGAGAACCACTGTTCTAGAGTCATTAAACATTGTTGGCGGTAGGCCCGCCCACTCTCCCAGTGAGTATAAATAGCCAGTAGGAGGGGCTACAGCCTCCAGTTCTCTTCATCCACCGCTAATTGCAGCAGCTTGAGAACCTCCTCGTTTCTGACTAGCTTTGGACTGCCTCTGCTATCGGTTTGAATATTCTCTGTCAGCCATTACAGGATTTAAGCGCTGTACCACTTGTTCTAATAATTTCCCAGACAATGGTGGCCATACCCTTTGTGACTGAAGGAGAGTCATTTATCCAGCCCTGCTCTATTTGCTAATATTTGGAAGGAAGCAGCAGAATCACATCACTCTGTTCAAGTTAAGCAATATTCAGGATTCCAATTCACCCTACAGAACCTTCTTTACGTCTTCTGTCCTGCTAGATTCTCACTTCAGGAAAATATCAAGTCTTTTAAACCTAGTGCAGCCTACTAGCTCTGTATAGCCGTCCATCTAGAAGTTGATAAAGGGACTGTTTATGTCGCTGTCACGTTGACAGAGCTCTGCCTTCTTTAGGTAGAGATGAATCAAACTCCCAGTTTATCAAACAGTTTAATTAAAACAGCACTTACTTGCTCGCTGTTTTAATACACCAAAACATAAAACATAAAGATAGCAAAAACAACTCTGTAGTCAAAAGGCTCCAGTCCAGTGGTCAAATGCTGAGAGTTCAATAAACAAAGTCCAGGGATCAAGAGTCTGTACCGTAGTCAAAAGCCAATCCAAAGGTTCACGGTTCCAGGATTCCAAGATTACAGGAGACAGGTCAGGATACCGAAAACTCCCACAGACCTGGGGGAAAAACCAGCAGCATCCACCAGCAAAATACAACACTTTTCTCCCAAAGATCAGTCTCAAGGTTAGCTTCTTAAATCCAGTAATACCCAGCTGCAACCCATCTCCTGCATACCTCCACCCCTAATTGCTTTCACCCATGAACTCCTACTTCCAGATTACCAAACCCTCTAGAACTAATACTCACATTAACCCTTCCATCACCAGCCACCATCAACTGCAGAACATATGACTTGCCTATTTTGAGATGGGTTTGTTGAGGTGACGATCCATGCAGTGGACACGTTCATAGCCTGTGCAAATCCAAGGTAGGACTTTGAATCAATAGGTATCCCATCGTGGTCAACTGTGAATCGCACCTAGGGTATTTCCAGCACGCAGGAAACAAGTCAGCGTCATGATTTAACTTTTCATATACTCTAAATTTCTATTATTTTTGTCCCAAAGGAAGCACAAGCTGTGACAGGGACCCATGGCCCGTTGGGCTTTTTCTGAACACGCACACACTCCAGCCAGCCAACCAAACTGGTGTACTGCTGATACCATTTGTGCCCATCTGTCATTCCAAAGTGCAGGAGGGGGGCTCAGGCAAGTCTGGTACTTCACACTTCTCTCTGCGGACCCCGCTGCTTGGATCCAGATTTTGAAAACAAAATGGGCTTGGGATTGTAAGGATTTTGGGCTGTGTTTATGGTCATCTGGCTCCTCCCTAAACTCCTAAATTCCCTTGTGTGTCCAATGTTGACCCTCTCCTTTGTCTGCAAAACCACAAGGAAGTTAGCAGAGGCTCATTTCAAGAAGTAGCTGCCTAGTAGGCATGTGCAACCATGGTTCTAAATCAGTGGTTCTCAACCTGTGGGTCCCCAGATATTTTGGACTACAACTCCCAGAAATCCTAACAGCTTGTAAACTGGCTGGGATTTCTGGGAGTTGTAGGCCAAAACACCTGGGGACCCACAGGTTGAGAACCACTGTAAATGGTTGCGAAACTAAAGTTCTGTTGGTGAACACTAGGGGGCGCTGGTGCCTTGCTTCTACAGTGTTGCTAAAGTTCTGGTGGTGAAAATTTCAGAACTCTTACAAAACTTTCAAAATTTCATTATTATTTCATTATTGGTGATTTTTATGACAGAAACTATTAGGAACTGCCATTTATAATTGACATGCGATCGAGGTTGTCTCTTGTACCCAGCAGAAAGGAAGGCATACGCCGTAACTTCCTGAATTTGGATCGAAAATCTGCAATTCTAAGAACCGAATCCCAGCCATTTTTTTTCCTGGGTTCCTCAGACCCCACTCGGTCAGCTTCCTAAAGAGAAGGTTTACCAAAGAGAAGGATTTTGGATTCCCAAGAATGAACCACAGTTTGGAGATAGGCAGTTTTCCAAGGTCTGTATCCATAGCTTCTACGCAGACTCTTCTGTCATGACTGTTACAATATGTGGGTCCATTCGAGGACCGCTGTGTCCCCTTGTATTGCTGTGTGGGTTTTTTGCACATTCTGACTATATTTTGTGTGTGTCTATAATTCAGATTGTCTGGAATTCTGTGTGCTCTTTTTTTATTTGTGTCACACGCTGTACATAAGTATTGAGTT